GATAGAATATAAGCTATAGGTTACTATACCGGGGATTGCCACTTTGTTAACTATCGTTCGGCTAAACGTCAACACTGTGGTACGTTTAAATTTATGATATGCTAAACTTATGTCTAAAAAATGCTAAATATATACTAGATTTAGTGCATACTAATAGTATTGGTAAAATGACTAAGACCGAGTGTTCTGTTAAGATAGATATTTATATTCCTTGCTTATAGAATCGATTTCTATTCTTTATGATAGTATGCCGAGGGTCTTATTCGTATTTCCCACTAGTACCAACAAAGCTACTATATAAAATTGGCCGCGAGATTGTATAGGCAATTAATGCATAAGATATGCTAGGATTGACTACACGTATGTTATTATTTTCTAATTAAGAATTCCTTTTTATTGACCTACCCTAGGTAAATTGATACTTTCACCTATATTTATAAGAATCCTAAGCTAACATAGAGATTCCGCGCTTCGCTATATCTATAAAAGCTTATATATTAAGGATAAAGTAACTACTTTAATACATAAACAAAGACTACTATATTACCTATAAGGTATAAGTCTTACTAGCGTATAGCGTGAATACTAGTTCGATCTAACCAAAAACAATAACGAGCAATAGATTCGTAAGGTCTTTTTCTTTGACGAACAAAGAGAGTATTATCTTATTATATATTGCACTTACGAGCAAGCTAAGCTTTTTCAAAACGTATAACATCTTAAAATAGATCTTGCTTTCAAAATAGTTTAAGGATAGACTAAAGTGTTTTCAATTTCTTCGTGGAACGAATAGGCAAGAAGTATGAATCTACCTTATTTTTTACATAAGTCAAACTTATGCTAATAATAGAAGGTCTTAACACATACGTCTATGCTTTTATAAACCTTAAAACCCGTGAGGCGTATCGGGTTCTTTTTCAAAAGATCTTTAAGATACTTAGCGATATTAGACGAAGACCTATTCGATAGGCGTACTAGTAAGGTGGTGACGATCATAGTGATAGTATCCGTACTATTATAGTGGATATATATAAAAAGCAGGCACCCGGTATGTTTTTGATATACTAAATATATGTAAAAATTATTCTAACTAGATCCTTTATTAATAGGGCTTAGAGACTATCTTGCTAAACTAGATCCTCGCTAGACATAGTTAGAGCATTTATAATATATTCTAATCCTTTGCTAGATATATATTAAACGGGTATTTCGTAAAAGATTTCCTAATCATAAAGCTACTACGGCAATTGATCTAATCTAGACTATAAATTCTAAGGCAGAAGTTATCTAAATCATAGATAATATCGCGGAAAAATAGCTAGAGACCTAGAAGTGGTTTATAAATAAGAAGGTTAACTAGATTCTTACTAGAATCACGTCTACGGCTTTAAAAATCCCTATTAGATAGTAGACAAATGCTCTATATCATACTAGGATTAGCGAAAGCAGTTATTTTTATGATAATAAGGTAGTTAGCCGGAAGCAAGCTCTATTAACTGCAATTCTTTAGTAAGTTTTTTATATTAATATGTTTCTATTACTAACATATATTATCTAGATATAAAAGATATACTCGGGAGATAGAGAAGAAAAACAAACTTGCAATTAAGGAGGGTATCTACCCTACTTAGCGTTCTTTAAATCCTATTTATCGTATTGTAAAGCAATATCGAAAAAAGGGTTAGTATTTCTTTATTATATATGTCTAACTTATGCTTATTTTATTCTAGACAAACGAAACCGTCACTCTATAAATCGTCGAACTCGGAGACTATATCTTCCTTAGAATCTAGCTAATCCCTATAATATATTTAATCTAGCAATATAGCTACCCGAGCCTATAGGTATCTCTAATTCTATTTTAGTCGCCACTTTAGATACTACCGATATAAGCTTAGTATATAGTCAAAGTATACCTTAAGCGTAGTCGATTATCTCTCAATATAGAGGTAGTTCAATTCTATCTAAATCACCTAGACTAGCGCTATAGGATAGTATATCTTAGTAGCTTACTAGGAATTAGGTTCTACTTAATAAAGAGGCAATTTTACGGTAGGAAATTGTAGATCTTAAGCGAAAACAAAGGATTTAGGCTCTTCAAAAGAGAAAAGAGGAATTACTACGCAATTTGTATAGTTAATAGAGTCAATTTTATTTATTTAGATATTTTTTAGATACGTTTAACTTATGTTTATTTAGGTCTAAGTGTGCAATTTATATATAGTCAATATATTGTTATGTAGAAATAAAAATCTGTAAGAAAAGTACCGGAAATCTGTAAGAAAAGTACTATAGCGATCTAGGCCACGGACTTAAAGGCACTAGAACTGCTAACGTCTCTATTATCACCCTCTACGTCGTCCCTATCGCTCTCACTATCATTATCCTCCGAGTCTTTATCGTCCTTAGTGTTATCACTAACGAAGTCTAGATCGTCGGATTCGTCGTCCTCTATGACACTACCTATGTTACCTCCGTTAGAAGTAGCCGTAGGAGGTCCGAAGCTAGGGAAAGGAATAGGATTGGTAGGGATATCTAGTCTACGCTATATAATATTAGTATAAGTTAGATATATATAAAAATCTAACTTACACGACGGCGACGATAGCCGGAGGATAGGGTTTCGGGGATTTAGAAGCGATAAAAACGGGAGCTATAAGTGGCTCTAAACTACGCGTTATTGGCCCTATATATGTAATTAATATATGTTTAGTATATCTATTCACTAAGTTGCACTTACGCAATCCGCTCTAGAGCATCGCACTAAAATCTAACAAGGCTATTATTAGGGCCACGACTAGGCTTATGCACGTAGCTAGTATTCTACTAGCTAAGCTAAAGGATCTAGCGCTTAATAGCGTTATAGGCAGTAATAATGTCCTCTCTCTGCTTAGCACGACGATTAGGCATAACGACTATTTAGTTAGTACATAGTAAGTATAAGTTAGGTATATCTAATTCAAAAGTACTCACGAGCTCTAGCATGCTCCTAGCGTATATAACGACGTATCGAAGGCCTATCTAGTAGGACTATACCGTATATCTAGCGTAGAGGGTTAACGAGAATGTCGTAGCTATTTTATATTATATTAGTATCCCCTATATATATATAGAATATATCTAATAATAACGTATACGCCGATGTTCTCCTTGTTAAGGACAAGGGCCTAGTTTAGAGGAGGGTTCGCGATAATATCAGCCGCCTTAATATCGTACTTACGGATACTAGCTGCTATAGCTATGTGGTATATAATCGGCTTCTACCCTAGGTTGTTGTCTAGGATTAGGCCTAGATATATTTAGTATATATAAACAATAAGTCCTATGTCCACATACCGTGAGCGTAACCCGCGAAAACATCGGGGTTTATAGCGGTCAAAACCGTGTTGTTGTCAAAATCGGCCTAGGTTAGACCTAGACCGGGGTGTAGTGCTAGGTTCGACATATTAGTCTCCTAGAGATAGTTGAGATATACCTAACTTATGTAAAAAGGGATCAGAGAGGGTGGTAAATAGATGCTCGTACCTAAGAAAGAAAAGGTAGGTGGGTGGTGAAGAAGAAGAGAAGTGCTGTTGTGTTATGATGATTTATATATTTCTCACTTTCTTTGTTGATTTCTACATAACCTTCCAGAACACTTAATATTGCTTTGTTTGTTTACAATTTATAACATACAAGACTGCTTTAGTCGAATCCTTTTACACCCTCTTAGAAATTAGACATAAAAGCAACAATATACAATATACGTATAGTGATATATTAGGATTAGTGCGTTTTAGTATTAAGTGGGTCAAAATCTTTAGGTAATATTGTATAAAAGTCAACCTAAATACATTAAACTTAGGCATAAAAGCTGACCGGGACCTGCAAAAAGCCAGGTCCCGATCAGGTGCCAGAGCTGATCGGGACCCGGTATTAGTCATCATTTTAGCTGGTCCTGGTCAACTTTTAGCTGGTCCCGCTCAGCTGGAACCCGCCACGCGATCCTTCAAGCGGCCACCGGGTTAGAACGCTTATGTAATGCTCAGTGAGCGGATCAGGGCGCTCAGGGGGCATGCTCAGATCTACTCAGTGAGCAAAAAGCGGCAAGGTCTGAGCACTAATACGGAAAGAGAACGCCAAGAAGTGGCAGCGGAAATCAAGTACATAGGTGCTATTACTTCACACTGTGCACTAACTATATATATTGTGTTGCGGTCTCTAGTAAATCTCTTTGAAGATCCCGTAGTCCGGTTAGACTGCCCATTGCTATTCTACTATACTTGCCGGGATTTACCAATTAAATTGCAAACTTCTTTAAGCTATGGTTAGGGCCGTAATACTCCGTAAAGCCTTACCAGAATTTGTCGATGTGGACCGAGACGAGGGGGCTCCACATGCAAAGTGAGGGCATCCCGTAAGAATCTGAACATGGCGGCACGAAGTTAACGTCCAAAGCATGGCCTCGTGGCGCAATGGTAGCGCGTCGCTCTCCTAGTCGCTGAAAAGCAACTCTTATTCTTAAAGCGGAAGTTGTGAGTTCGAGTCTCACCGGGGTCGCATTTTTTATTTTTTATTTTGACTCGCTCCGTATAGCAGCCCCACACCTAAGTTATATACTTTTAGCACCCCCTAATCAGTAGAAGCTAGCATATTTGGACTTGCATAGTGTTACTATGTAGATGTTTTTCCGTGCTAATACTAACCAGGCATTCATGAGAGCTCTATATTGCATGCATTAAGTAACTTAAAGTAGATATCTATGACACTACCTCGTCGCTTTCAAACCTAACAATTCGATCAACCTAATAAATTCAATTTCTCTTTAAAAAAAACCCCCAGAGATTGAAGCTCAGCCCACGTATCGATCCGTATAACAGATCTATAGGAACCGAGTCACCGAACAAAATCTCTAATATGAGCCTTTATAATCATAGGTTTTAAGTCGGTGGACTATAGAGGTGCTCGATATTTTATGTGACTCACGGGTATCGTTACAGTTGGTCTTTAGATTGCTAGCTCTATTTTCTCTCGCCCAAACCCAACCTGTGTTCGATAACCTTGACAATCTCAGTCCATTCCCACATAGCACCACTCCCCGCGTCCCCGCATGCTAACACCTTCGACGCCTGCGGTGCTAGCACCTCAAACCATCCAGTCTCTTCCCCCGTCTCCTCATCTCTTCTAACACCCCACTCCTCCCCAAGCACCTTTATATGCCTCGCCGTCACTGGATGCCGCCACATAGCTGTATTCATTGCAGGCGCAACTATAATCCGTTTCCGTTGCCCATCAACTTGGCCATCGGTATCCCACGCCCGACATACCGACGTCAACAAATTATCGCTAAGTCCATTGGCGAGTTTGGCTAAGGTGTTTGCGGAAAGAGGAGCAATGACGAGGATGTCTGCCCAGCGCCGGAGAGAGATATGCAAGATATCAGCGCCGCGGCGCCAGGGCTCTGGACCCCACTCTGCACTGTCATCATAGATGGCTTCCACGCCAGGGAGGGAGAGGAGGGAGGAGACGGTAGGTTGCTCGGCAGACTGGCCGCCTAGGAAGTGTTTGGCGTTTGATGTGAAAATTACTCGTATTGATAGCTTATGAGCATGTGGAGCGAGGGCGCTGAGGATGTTGAATATTTTGATAGTTGCAACTGATCCAGTTGCTGCAAGTAAGAGGTGAACACGATTGTCAGAGAGTGATGCATTCACATCCTCGGTGGAATTCTTGTTAGAGGTGCCATCGATATAACCACCAGGGAGGGTCGTTTCGGGCATTTTGATTCTGAGTGTAAGCTCCACAAAGGTTTGAATGTGTCAATCAAGCCCACGAGCCACTAATAATTTGGAGTAGTTGTAGTCGTATTGGTACAGGGAACAAGATCAGAAAGAATGACACCATTCCAAATATTGCCAAAAGATTCCGCTTTTGAGCCAGCAACCCACAACGGGGATCTCCACGCTAAGCTATTTTAGTACTAGTACAATATTAGATTCCCTTAACCCTATAAAATTTTAAGTTTTGCAGGTCTATGAAGTGACTGAATGATACTGAAGATCTTGTCAAGAATCCTTGGCGAGTATCCTTGGCGAGTATGTATCTTGACAGTGAAGATGTTTCTTCTCATTATATTGCCTTTTTTTCTCTGTTCAATTCTCAGGTAGAGCGCAATAAATTTCATCAACTCACCAAGCCATAATCCCTCCGCGTGGACAAATACACATCTAGCTGGGACATAGAGATACTTACATGTCGCTTTTCAAGGACAAGTCTAGGTTTAAATTGTTTTTCTTTTGATGCTACCTGTGCCACGAGAAGTTTTAAATAGGGGATCATAGATATATGACCTAAAAGTACATATTCGTATATTCATTGAAGCCGCTATAAATTAGGTCGTGTTAGATGTATCATAAATGAATATATTTGTAAAATATATTCAGAAGCATTTTGATATAGAATACCCGAAACCCCGGGGGGCCCCGGGATGATGGATATCACACGTGACCTCAGCGGGCTTTGAAATTGCGACAACATGCTTGGACCAGGGGTACAGATCACATGACACCGACACCGGCCTCGATTTGCGGGAACTACAAAAACTTCGCCAACTTCACCAACGTCGTGGTACCGTTGAAAATGTCTAGGCAACTACGTACGCTGTTGCGCAGACCGGTGAGTGATATATTTCCTGCTAATTACGCGATTGGAGCTGACTCTCCCAGCTTTGGCCTCGGTTGAGTCAACCGGCCGGTCTCCCGAGCCTCACGAGCAGGAGAATCCCTCAACACTTCCAATCGGTTTCGATCCCCCCGCCTGCTCGCTTCCTGAGCTCGACTGCCGTCACACGGGCCGACGCTTTCCCCTCGCAGCTCGAAAATGCTTCTTCAACCCCTACCGCTGAGATTGGGCGGTCGCAGACCTTGACCGAGAAGATTGTACAACGCTATGCAGTCGGTCTCCCCGAAGGAAAGCTCGTCCGAAGCGGCGACTATATTAGTCTTGCCCCCGGGTACTGCATGACTCACGATAACTCGTGGCCTGTCGCTCTCAAGTTCATGTCTATGGGAGCTACGCAGATCAACAACCCGAAGCAAATCGTCATGACCCTTGATCACGACGTTCAAAACACCAGCGCATCAAACCTGCAGAAATACCAACAGATCGAGACTTTTGCTGGACAGCACGGTATCGACTTCTATCCTGCCGGACGGGGTATTGGACACCAGGTTATGGTGGAGGAAGGATATGCGTGGCCCGGTACCATGGCGGTAGCCTCTGACAGCCACAGCAATCACTACGGTGGAGTTGGCTGTCTTGGAACCGCTGTTGTGCGGACAGACGCTGCCAGTATCTGGGCAACCTCCCGGACATGGTGGCAGATTCCCCCTGTTGCGAAGGTAACGTTCACCGGGACGCTACCAAAGGGCGTGACAGGTAAGGATGTTATTGTCGCGCTGTGCGGTATGTTCAACAGTGACGTTCTCAACCATGCAATTGAGTTCACTGGCTCTGAAGAGACCATGGCAAGTCTACTTGTGGATAGCCGTATGACTATTGCCAACATGACAACTGAGTGGGGAGCGCTCACTGGTCTATTCCCCATTGACCGGACGCTGGAACGCTGGCTACGATACAAGGCCACCGAGGCAGCCATGCTTGATGACCGGACAACCCGGGAACGTATCACGCATGAAAGGGTCGATGAGCTGTTCGCCAATCCCCTCAAGGCGGATCCTGATGCTGTTTACGCCAAGCAGCTGTATCTCAACCTCTCTACCCTATCCCCCTATGTCTCAGGCCCCAACTCAGTCAAGGTTGCCACGCCGCTCAACGAGCTGGTCCAACAGAACATCAAGGTCAACCGCGCCTACATCGTCTCTTGCACGAACTCGCGTGCTTCTGATCTCGCGGCGGCCGCTAAGGTCTTCAAGGACGCCGCCAAGGCCAACCCCGACAACACTGCCAAGATTGCTGATGGTGTCAAACTATACATCGCTGCAGCTTCTGCACCCGAACAGGAGGCCGCTGAGGCGACTGGTGACTGGCAGGCGCTGCTTGATGCTGGCGCTCAGCCGTTGCCTGCTGGTTGTGGACCTTGCATTGGTCTCGGCACAGGCCTTCTTGAGCCCGGCGAGGTCGGAATCAGTGCCAGTAACCGTAATTTCAAGGGACGCATGGGTTCTCGTGATGCCCTGGCCTACCTGGCTAGCCCCGAAGTCGTCGCTGCCAGTGCTCTGAGCGGCGTTATCTCTGGTCCAGGTGCCTACGAGGTGCCACAAGGCTGGGATGGTGTTGAGCATGGCTTCGGCACCGGTGCTGAACCCAGCACCGTGGACGAGCTCTCCAACATGCTTCAGCAGATGGAGTCCTTGATCGACCGTGTTGAGTCTGCCGATACTTCTGCCAAGCCTGCCACTGAGATTCTACCGGGCTTCCCCGAGAGGATCACCGGCGAAATCGTCTTCTGTGACTTCGACAACCTCGACACTGACAACATCTACCCTGGAAAATTAACATACCAAGACAACGTCTCGAAGGAGGACATGGCTAACGCCTGCATGTCCAACTACGACCCCGAGTTCAAGGGAATCGCCAAGCCCAATGACATCCTCGTCTCTGGCTTCAACTTCGGCTGCGGATCCTCAAGAGAGCAGGCTGCTACTGCCATTCTCGCCAAGCAGATTCCTCTGGTCGTTGCTGGCAGTTTCGGAAACATCTTCTCCCGAAACAGTATCAACAACGCACTTATGGGCCTTGAGGTTCCCAAGCTTATTGAACGCCTGCGCACTACCTTTTCAGAGCGTCAGCCCACCCGCCGGACAGGCTGGACTTTGACTTGGGATGTGAAGCGCAGTGTCGTCGAAGTGCAAGAGGGCGAGGGCGGCGATAAGTGGACTGAGCAGGTCGGCGAGCTGCCCGCCAATGTGCAGGAGATTATTGCGGCTGGCGGCCTTGAGTCGTGGGTCAAGAATGAGGTTCAGAAGTCGCAGTCGCAGTAAAGACATGGTGATATACGCATGTATAGGGCTTAGTTGCGGCATTTTGGTCATTTTTGAACTGAACAAAATAGAAGACGGGAAGGCAAGGATGAAGAAAATAGATAGAAGACTCGAAGGAGTGTATAGTATTCGAAGAATAATAGGAATGATTGTATCAATATGAGATATCCCCAATTTGCGACTTGATGTACTTCGCTTTGTATACAAATTATTTCCAAATCGCACTATGCCACTGAAATTGAGCACATGGGATTGACTGTAGGGAGTCAATCCCATATGGTCACCAACAATTCGTGTCATTGAACTAATGCTTTGAGCGAGGGAGGATCAAAGTCCGTAGCATTGACTATAAGAACCAAGTTAGATCAATCGCAAATCACGAAGAGGATAATAAATACCAATAGAGATCATAATAAACCCAAACTCATCAGCCTCCTCCAACCACCTTTCAGCCCTAGCATCCATAACTACCCCAGGCCGAATGTTCCCAAACTCACCCTGCAGATAACATTGACCACTCCAGCGCGACAGCCAGTGAATATACCGCGTATTCCACTCCTGTTCAGACTGCGCCTGCCAAAGCGCCTTTGCAGCCGGGGCAGGCATAAAGCCCAAATCCCTACAGTCGAAACATGGCACCTCATGCAATACCGAGTACGCCCAGTGAAGAAGATATAGGGCAAGTACTGCGCGGCGTTTCGCCGTAACGTGTACCCATGCTTCCCACGACGGTCTCATCTGTGTTCGCTCTTCTTCGAGGAAGAGGCCTGCATGCACGATTTGATAGACTAGGAGCTCGACCTTGCGGAAGACGATGTTATGGTCTGTTAAGAGGGGTTGGGAGCTGGATGACGGGGATAGGAGAATGATCGTGTATATGACCACTGCTTGTAATGATGCTAGTAGGTCTGTTTCATCGAGTTGATTGGACTGTGTTCCGGTTTCCCTGTCAATCGGATTTACTTGGAATGGAGGAGAGAAGTGACGAACCTGATTTACTATATTGTCTAGCTCTCCTAGAATTGTTTTGCGTACCATCTCCTCTGCGCCTTCGCATTGCCCGTGCCACATTTTGATCAGGGTTATGCATTTCGCTAGTGGCAATGGTAATGTTTTACCTTGTGTGATGTGCGTTGAATGGAATAACGGTGGTAGCTGGAACTCTTCGGCCAACATTTTTGGCCAGCTTTTGAGAACCCGAAAGATGAGTTCCATGCTGTGGCGAGCCAGAGCGATTGAGTTCGTATCTGCGGATGGGCTATGTCGACCATGTGGAAGTGAGATGGCTCGAATTAGTTCTGGAGATCCGCATTCATTGTTATCACTCAAAGAGAGGAGATCTGGGTCCACTGTGCGTTGTGGAGAGCGGAGATTGAGGTTCGTTGGTTGCGTCAGATCCCAGGACGCTAGACTCGAGAAGCATGAATCAAACAGATTAGGATCGAAGATTGATTGCGACTCTTGTACTTGAGTAGTAAGTGATGGTACCGGAGACTTGTCCGCATTACCTTCCCTAATGCTGAAATCGTGGTTCTCAGTTTCTACAGTCAGGGACTCAGTCGATTCGGCACTCGTATATTGGCAGGAGACACTCCGTAGAGAACACCGCGAGCAACTGGGACGTCTCAAGTTGCACTTGGCTTTATCAGCGACACACTGGTGGCATGATTTGCGTCTCAGGCTTTGCGATTGCGATTTGTTGCAGTTGTTCTTCAAATGGCGGATAAGCGAGGATCCTGAAGCGGCGTTAGTCGGAGGTCTGAACTAGCCACACTGAATACATACGATGACTAAAATATGTACCACAGAATGGACATCCAGCCTTTTTCTCATTTACTGTTTCCATCGTGGAGATTAAATCCTGCATAGGCAAGGAGGGCGTGAAATGAAGTGTGTTCCCTTCAACTCGGAACTCCGGGTTGCGGGGTCCGAAGGCATATAAGGCTGCCCAGGTGGTTCATACAATCCACGCAATTCACACTCACGTTCACAAACTACAAAATGACAATTAATCATATCTTCTTTTGGGCTTCCGCAGGCAAGGTCGTAGCCCTGCGGTCGTTTTATCGTGCTATCCTCCAGCCCCTGGGTTATACCGAGATGATTCGTGCGAACAACGAAACTCTCATCGGATATGGAAGTGATTATCCCTACTTCTGGCTGAAGAAACTGCCCGAAGGAAAAGAGCCTTTGCCAACCCACATTGCGTTTGACGCCCCAAGTAAGCCTCCCTATACTGGATATCTGAAAAGAGCTGTTAATGTATGGAAATTAAATAGGCCGCGAAGCTGTGGATCAGTTCTACCACCTGGCACTGTGAGTTTCACTATTCCTTTTTACACCACAAAGAGAGCTTAATCACCCCTCTTTGGTTATAGTTGACAATGCACTGAATCTACCACAGGCAACATGGAGGTCGCGACAATGGAGGCCCAGGTATCAGGGAAGAGATGAGCCGCCAACCCTACTACTCGGCTTTTATTATTGATTTGGAAGGAAATAATGTCGAAGCTGTGTGCGTTCCCAAGTGAAAGCTAGCTCATTAATGCTGGGATGACGAAATCTACTACCTTTGCATTGCCGCATACACATCGGATTTCAGCTTTCCCTTTCCGATTGCTCATCCCTTGCAGCTTAGATGGAAACTGAATACATAGTACAGACGCGCTCCAAATCGGGTTCACAACTTTATTTTAAATCAATCTCGAACCTTATTTTGAAATTATTTTTTTGATATAACAGTTCACATCACGAAAACGTGTTATGCAACATCACATCCATGGATGGTCCCAGCCCTGGAGCACACCCAAGCCGAACATGTGAAACCGTCGCATTACTTCCAGTGATGCCAGCAGCTAGCCACCAGGTGCTCGTAGTCACAGACGCTAGTCTTCGACTGAAAGGCGGTTCCGGGGCCGCAGGTCTTCAAAACGGGCTTCCCACCAACGGGGCATTCGTAGAATCGGTGGCAGTCTTGAGGGTCGGCCCATGCCACAGCGCCGGCAGCGATTTCGGAGGCTGGGGCAGCAGTAACCGAAGTGAAGAGCACGAAGGCCATGAAAGAGTTAATCATTTGATAGGTGAACTGCATTGTGCTGGCGAATGGATGAATTAACCAGAGTGTCAGACAAACGTTGGAAGGTGTGTAAGACATACTTGACTTATTTTTGGAGAAATGAAGTACGAATATGAAGATTGAGGGCAAGTGAGACTGAAGGAGTGGTGGTGGTGGTCGTGGATTAAAAAAAAAATTTAATAGATGGTGAGGTCAATCTCGAACTTTATAGTTCTTTTGAAGATTCTGTATCTGCCATTTTCTTTTTTTTTAACACAAAATATAGAGCAAGAAATCCCCAATGTTGATTTTGCCAAAAGATAACATTCCTGACCTCGGTAGAGGGCGCATTGTGTATGCCCCAGCATACCTCGCCCTCCTTACTAGAAGAATTTGAAATTTAAGTAGCCGCTGTCCCTTGTGGGCCTTGAATTCCACTTTTGTTTTGGTTAGCCGTCATGCGGTAGCTTTAAGAAAAGCATCGATCGGCGGATGTCGTCGACAAATCATGTTTCACTAGCACTTCACGAGATATTCCACTTTTCGCCAAACTACGCATCATGTAACCTCGGAGCAATACTAAGAATGAATTCCAAAGGCCTCGATAAATGTTCTTCTCTAAGAACCATGAGCCAGTAAGCACTCGGGATCAGGGCTACGTCCTATTCCATATTTTTCTAACGGAGCGCATACTTTTTTGTTTTCAGAGTATGTATCTCTATGCCCATTAATATGTAATGAACGCAACAAAGTAGGACAGAATCACCGGATTGACTTGTCTTCCAGCCGCAAATACTGCGAAAGAAGACCCTTCAAACTTTCTTCGAAACTGGTGAACTGCCAACCGAAAGTATCTTCCGTGCTCTGAGCTTCCAGCCTCCATTTTATTGCAGTCAATGACCCTTCCAATGGTAGCATTCCACTTTTCACCTCTTTAGGGAAGATCTTCCTGCAAGTCTCCTTCACATCTCTATCCCAAACTACTCCATCTGGAGTATCCGAGGACAAAATGTACTCCGAGTTTCCAGGAACTACTCCACAATCTATCGCGTCAACATGTGCCCGCGCAACATCGGCAACATGTACTGGAGTACCAACATAAGGGAATGGGGAGTTATGCGAGGAAGTTAGCGCGGGTGCAAGCACGGCTGCTCGGGTGCCCTGAAGGAGGCTGTCTCCAGTCGCAGTTGGATCTGCGTTAAGACGATCATCTGGGCCAATTACCACGGATGGTAACAGGTTCACAAAGTCAAAGGTGGGACGCATATCGCGGACGAATATCTTGGTCTCTACTCGAGCTAGAGCTTTGGATGCCCAGTAGGCTTCCATTGCACTTGAAAAGGGACCAGTGATGCTGGTATTGGTATCAGACACTAATTTTAGGCACGAAGCGTGAGTTTCTGCAGCGAACTTGCTTGATGGAATGGTATGCCGACCTGTATATAGTCTCTCGCTGTCTGGATTCATGTTCCATTCAAATGGAATTAACGTCACACCTTCAAGGTTCATTAGAATTTTGGTTGGACCAAGAAAGGGTCGAGAATTTGCGCACATGAAGAAGTCAATACCACCCTGCGGATTGACCCTACGCGAGTAGCTGCTTCCAGGACTGTCCTCACCATAGCTATAGCTGGCTTCACGATACCCGCATCATAGTCATTGGTCTGTTAAGAATATTGTTGGCTTTAGAAAGCAATTGGTTCGAGGGGACAAATTACCTCAATTGCCAAAGGTGATGCTAGATGAATGATAACACTGATTCCATCGAGACACTGGAAAAATGCATCTTTCTCGAGGAAATCCGGGATGACAGCGAATTCGAGCTTCCTTTCGTCAAGGCTTTGCGCAATTACGATGCTTTTACTTTTCAAGTCATCGATATTGCTTTCGCTCCGGACAACTGCCCGAACCCGATATCCTCTTTCGAGAGCAATTATTAAAGTCTTGAATCCGATATAACCAGTAACACCTGTAATCTGCTCTTGATTGTGAGAACCTCTTTTTCTGTTTTTCTGTTAAACTATGGGAAATGTGCGGGAGTTGCTTACCAGAAGATGCTCGCGGCTAGCATCCTGTGTTTTGTTTGCCATTATGGAAGATTGGGAGCTTAGGAAATCAACTATTTTCATGAACCAATGCGGTACTAATGCTTAATATTTATATAGCCACAGTACACAGGGTGGACTCATTGCCCACTATGTGCTTACCGGAACTCGGAGTTCCAGGTTGGCGGGTACTAGACTCGGAAAAATCGACGAAACAGCCTTGCGATAGAAGAGCATGTAAGTTGATACCAAAACAAAACAAAAGAAAAACAAATAAAGTGTGATATAGCATCTATACCTTTTGTGTCCGAATCACTTTGGCTTGACAACCAATATCATAATAGTCAACGACCAAGAATTTGTCTTTCAACACCAAGCCCACCTCCATCTTGACACCAGCATTCCTCAACCCATCAACATATCCAATCCCCAAAGAAGACGGCGTGACAAATCCGCGCCTCCCACAAAAATCTTTTCCCATTTCTCAGCGCTGACCTTGGTCGAGCAATCACCTGCTCCAACACACTACCGAGGGCAGTCAGCTCATGCAATAACCCTTCGGGTGTAAAAGATGCCCAAGTCTGAGCTGGGTTCTCTCCGGTTCCTTCACCAATAGCATGAAATTCCGCCCATTCCATATTTTGCAGCTTATATATATAAGGGGCCGAATCCATATGCCTCGCAAGCATTCGAATGATTCCACGAATCAATGATATTGACAAGAGGAGCAACGCAGATTTGGTGAAGAGATGCACACAAACTGCGGATAGCACAGTGCTCACTGGGACGTATCTTCATAATGAAAGCCAAGTCCATAGAGATCTCGATTTTGTGAAGCACTGCTATGATGACCTCATTTCCTAGACCCGGAAAGGATGTTGCCAGGTAGCCTAGTCCTTTCCTGTGGTGGCATCAGAGAGTTGTGTGGACCACGGTGACTTTGAGACTTTCTTCTGGCGTGACGGAGATTGAATCTACAAGTCGCCATACAGGTACCAATGAGAGCCATACGGGACAATGGTCTTCCTGCAAGGCAACATTTATAGTTTTCATGGTAATTAGGGGCAATAAAGTGTGCACATAGTCTCCCAGTAAAGCCGGTTGCTTCGAAAAGAACATGATCGTACATCTTTACCCTGATTAAAAGTGATCTATAAGAGCAAGTTCCACTAATGGATATGATTTCTTGTTAAATAGACTGATCCCTAGCCCAATTAATAAACCACTGGTGTTCCGTGTTGAGCCCTAACAAGCGCTTGCAAAATCAACTCGAAGTTGAGCACAATGTCACAGCTTTACTTGACATTTCTACAAAAGTGATAATCCCCATTAGCCGCAGAAACACAAATCTTGCATTTGTGCACGATATCTCATACAATAATTCAAAGCACGCATCGGCTATATTCATGCCTTAATTTAGAAGCACAGCACCCGCAAGAATACCACACAGAACCAACACCGGTGCAGTTGTTTTGACTGTAATATTGCCTGACTTCGTAACAGTAGCAGTAGCATTAGTACTAGTATCCTGGGAGTTTGACGCGCCCTGACTGGTCGACTTAGTCGAAGAACCAGTAGTATCAGTCGCAGTTCCAGTCGCCGTTCCGGTTGCACTAGTAGATCCAGACTCGGCTACAGTCAAGATGACTGGATAAACTTGAAAGTCTTTCAAGTCATCAGGGACTTTAATAGTGTCTGACTTGGTGATAGTGGAGCTGCGGAACTCATAGGAGCCTGTGTATGAACAGTGGGCAGCCGTCGGAGACGGGGAGCCGGTCAACGTGCACGCAGAGCTCGAGTAGCCATGAAGAATTAGTGCTTTTTCTTTGTTGGCTCCTGTGTATGATGTTCATGGCTTATCCGATGAATCCGCCAGGGTTTGTGGTTATAAGTTCATAGGCTATATTCGATGGGAGTCAGATTTACTATGTCGGTACCTTTCGGAATGGATGCAATGATGCTCACTGTTAGGTGCGACGATGAACGTTATCGGTGGACCAAGCGTCGGGCAATGGCTACTTGCTGGACAGTGCGGTTCCACATGATAGGTTTGTGCTCTTGCCATTCGGACGGCAGGGCTGAGGATAACGTAAATCCCAAGCGAGTCGCGCACCCCAAAACACCTAGTGAATGCAAGATGCTATATCAGCAAGAATACCTCATTTCGGCTACTACAGGAGTTGTACATATGTAACACGTCATCTCACCGGCGAATGTTATGATATGGCAACCGGCCCCGTCATTTTGAGTTAGTCGTCATGCTAAATTGGACGAGAACGGACAGGCTAAGGCAGATTGGAATCACAATTGTCGTAAGTGAAGATATTTGTGATTATATCAAGTTGATGGGTGTACTGCGAGTCACCACACTTAAACGTGCCGTGCATCAATACTCCTTGACCGCATTGCTTGACATCCTAAGGTAAGTTTTGCTTATGTCTGTGCATCTAGTAAGAGCGGCCGTAACAATGGAAAAACAAACCCAAAATGTTGCTGCTAGAAACTTTCTTTCATTCGGGACTAAACGCACTATCTATACTGTATCAAGCGAGTCGACAGTGGTGTCAAGATCCAACGCTTTGGTTGACCATTTCAAGAACCGGCATTGCCAGTTCCTCCATGTGCTTTCCCAGATGAACCATCAGCTTCTTCCAGCTTCCCAGGCTATCTCCACAGAATTGACACCGCTCCTCATGTGAGGGTTCTTCTCGGTGACACTGCTCGACAATCTCCCACAAAGTCTTGTCATTGCTTTCTGGTGGGGCCAACTGCTCTTCCGGAAAAGAAGGCTTCCTTCCTTTGACCATGGGCTTGGTCAACCTATGCTCTCGTACCAAGTGTCCAAGGAAATTATCTTTGCGAGTGAAAGTGAGCCCGCACTTTGGGAAAGAGCAAGCCCAATATTCTGGTCGCCGGTGTAACTCCATTTCATGGCGCACCCAATCTGCTTTGCGCTTGAACGTCTTCGGGTCTGGGCAGCTGGGAAAAGTGCATGTAAAAGGTTGCACATCCTCGTAGGCATGCTTTGACCAATCGGAAGGCTTCTGGAATTTTTTAACTTCAAAGCAGATGGGACACTCAAACTGAGCTGGCAAAGATGGGACAGGTGGCAAGGGAACCCCAGGAGGAAAACTCGATGGGGAGCCACCCCCTGGAATGACATTGATTCCTGGCGATGTGGCGTGGACGCTTCATCACCTCCCAGAATAATACAATGCTCACCAGAGCGACACGAGTGATTGATGATATCTTGGGAGTGTTTTTGCCGCATTCTAGTGAGCCTTTCATAACGTCGGCACTGCTCTTGCGCGAGGCGCTGGGCTAAAGCGGGCTCCAGCCGCGGATTCAACTCCATGACCTGCGCTAAAAATTCCTCCAGGGTAGGGATAGTAGAAGGCAACAACGCAGGAGAACTCCCGAATGTCCTTTGGCCAATATCCGTGTCTAGGGGTACCTTCTTATTGTCGCTCTCTACTTTGTGCCCTTCGATATCGTCACTCAGGGCTCTGCACCTCGGCTGTAGGCTTGTATCTGATCTCGGACTTTCAGAACACGTACTTTTAGGACCGTCACGAGAAATGTCTTTCATGGGGGCTTTTGACAGAATCTCTTTAGTACGCGCAAATTTGGGGGTTTGGGGTAGGAAAAAGACCGTCAGACCCGTGGAAGAATCAGGGCGATAGGGATTTGCCCCGGCTTGAAGAAGAATCTCCACTGCTTCATGATTCCCTCGCCAGCATGCGACATATAAAGGTGTGGACCCAAAGCGCCCCCCAGGAGCATCTAGATCGATGCCAGGGGTTGACTCAATGATAGCCTTGACGACAGAAACTAGGCCAAAGGAAGCGGCATAATATAACGGGTGCGTCGTCTCGATGATTCTAACATCGATATCTGGAGCTATTGTCTGCACCCACACGCCAAAATTACCGCAACGAAGAAGATTTCGGGAACTCAAAAGCCTATCCACGATTTGATAGTCGCGGCCATCAAAGTCCCGCGACTTGCTATGACTGGCCCAGAAGTGTGCAGCATATTCCAGAAGAGAGTGCTTCCCCTCGCGCTCAAGAATTGAGTCAATAGAATGCACGTATCCGGACCGAAAGTTATCGAGACATAGATAGGTAAGGCACTGTCGCATTAAAGTCTTACCAGCGGTTGCTGGATCTAGACTGAAGTATTGCACACTAGAGGAGCGTATCCACTCGGATGTGAGGAAATCCTTGACAGAAGCGTGCGCCAAACTCACATTTCCGACTTCATCCTGCGTGATGAGCCCCTGACAAATCTCAAGGAGAATCCCTGGAGAAACTAGTTTCATATCTTCATCAAGAACTGTAGATGTCTCCTCTAGAACGACTGCTTCATTCAGTTCATCTAAGGTAAGCGACCGGTTTGAGAAACTGAGCCATAAGAAAGCAGCGCGGCTAAGCTCCCAATCACTCTCAGGGATTCTCTGCAATATGCCGGCATATGTCTCTCGTAAGGTCCTTGGTAATGTTTGCAGAGCCTCTCGGATTTTCCCGACGGTTCTAAGTGAGCCGAGGTTTTCCAAAGATAACTGAACCCAGCGAAATCTATATGCGAAGAGGTTAGCGGCGACCACGCCATATGATTGTAGAACTGACGATCCATCTGCACCTTGGGAAATGGTCTCCCAGATCTGATCCTTTAACTTCGAGTTCAGTTTCTTTAGCATTCCGTCCTCTTGCAGCGTAAAACGTATAAAGGTGTCGATGTCGTCTGTTATGCCTGTCACATTTATATTTATTATTCTGGCGTGCTCGCACGAGAACATATCGGTCGTGCCTGTGAGAAGAACACGAAGATTTGGAAGCTTGCTCAGCATCCTTATTAAAGATCGCTTGATGTTCTCTGATTGGCAGCTCTCATTAAGTGCGTCCACGAGAAGGACAACGGGTTGGTCTCCAGACATATGTTCGATGATGGCGTCTTCGATATCAGCAATGTCGACAGGGTATCTGCCTGCTATTGGATTCATTTTCGCTTCATAGAACGGCCAAATACTTTCCAAAATTGAGGGATTTGATTCAGAGAGCTGAGCCAGAAGTGATCCTAAGATATTTTTCGGATCTTGAGAGGCCACATCACCAAATGAGCAGTAAAAGTAGCCAAATGCCACACCCTGGGCATGTGTTGACATCGAGGTCAGCTTATCGACAACGTGGGAGCTGTGAAATATTAGCTAGATCTAGATAAATGAGTAAGATAAGCCTACAAGAGTGTTGTTTTCCCTGACCCAGCTTTCAGGCAGTGTTAGAACATCCCCCATGTGTAAGAGCAGAACGCTTACATTTGCCCAGGAGGAAGAGAATCTGCCGATATGTATCGTGTCCCCATAGCCATTCTTTGAAAATGGTATCGATGAACCATTTTCCTGTTTGATCCAGTCGAGCTCTTGAGGCTCGCAGATGAGCACCAGTCGGACAACTAGGAGCCAACCAGCGGCAAAGGTCTCGATGGGCTGTAGAGATCCTTTCGTCATTTCGAATTTTCAGGTTTTCCTCCAGTGAAGTTGCAAGATCAGTCAATTTACGATGCAAATCTCGATTAAGAGCATTGCTATCACTCGTGAAAACAAGGATTAAGCACGACTTCACCCTTTCAAGGCGAATGAGGTGGGCGTTGAACTTTTCGCGGGTGAGAGGCCACTCTAATTTTTGTTTCAGTCGTTTGTATTTGTCCACTGGTTCTTCAAGGTCAAAGAGGAGGGACTGAAGCGTCTCATCCGTTCTTGCGAGAGCGTTTGTCAGAAATTCGGGGTCGCATAGACCCTCTTCCGATTTGGATAGGGGTTCAGCTTGGGCGGAAATATGTTCTAGAATGCCTTTGAGAGCGAACAGCTCTTCGCTTAGTCTTCGAGCGTCAGGTCTCGAATCCCGTACCGCCTTGGCATATTTCATCAGGCTGGCAATAACTCCACCAACCTCGATTATAAGCGAAGTTATAGAAATAGGGTCCGGCATGGTTGCCAAATTAGCAAGCTGCTGCTGACTCTGGATGTGCTGGTTCCGAGGGAGCGATGTGGGAAGCCGACACTTTTTGCGGAGGCGGGGTTGCCTACACCGTCTCGTTTCTTTTTTACCTCAATAAGCCAGCGTCTCGCTAAGTTTACGTCAATGGCCCCAGGGCTGCGCCGAGGTCTAGTGTTGCTGTTGGGCTTGAGTTGGGACACGTCATGGTGTGTGGGGTTGGTTAGTTTTGAAGTTGTAACAATACTGTACATGGCCATACAAGGGTTTCGAATTCTTATCCTTTTGGTATTATACCACTCAACCTTGGAACAGTTTGAATACAGAAAAGCCATAAGTTATCTGGATTAGCGCATCATGTGACTAGGGTTTGGAAGATCTCATATGTTTTCCGACATGGAAGGCAATAACGGTCGCCACTGTATCATGGCAAGCAAAGGTAGAAAACGAGGCTGATTAGCCCCTAAAAGTTGGGGGCAAATACCGAGCCAGGAGTGGCTTAGTGAAAACCTTTCTGGCTCAAGGCTTACCTCTACAAGAAAAACACAACACAGGGAAGAGCGAAATGGGCCCGGTAAAAAGGAAAAGACTATGTACTCACGCCAAGGCGCCTATTTCCATAGAGAAAGTAGTTCTATATGACATCGTTCTATATACAGATCAATCAATAACACTTTTGTTATCAGCCCAACTAGGCTGAATACTCCGACAAACAGCCTCATAATCCTGAAAGCGCCGAGAGTCCTCGGGCAACCCAGCAGTAGTCCAAAACATAGTCCAGTTACTATCAGCCAGCTTCCAAGTCCCCGCCGAGCGCTCAAAGTACCACTTATTTACGGGGTTGTCTTTACGACTCCGCCAGCAAACCCCATTAGGGAAACAGGTGCGCACCATCGCATTGAAGACCACGTCGGCGACACCACCTGCGCCCTGGCTTCGCTTCAACACGGCGAATTTATCCAAGTAGGGGACCATGCGGGCGGCGCTTGCTTCGCTGCCGTCGTCGACCACTCCTGGTGGTGTTTCCCAGGTTAGGATGGCGCCGCCTTCGTATTCGCCTGCGACAATTATACCTGCGATGCGGTCGTTGACTCGTTCGAGGTAGTTCTGGACGTCGAGTTTGCGGTCGAAGGAGTCTTCGATTAGGTGGACTAGGCGGGGGAGGTCGATTGTTGGATCGTTTAGTTGTAGTCGGGGTTGCGTGTTGGCTGTCCATGTTTGCACGTGTGGGTTTGGGAGGATTGTGAGAGGCATGCCGCGCTTTACGAAGGTTGTGTGGGATGTGTAAGGGCTGACTGTGATTGTTTTACCGTTACTGGAGGCGCCACGTCGACCTGGAGGTAATGAGGAGGATAGGAGAGGCTTGTCGGTGAGGAGGTTGTGGATCAGCGGGTTGCGCTGTCGCCGGGTTCCGACGGCTGAGAGATCTGATGCGGCCATTGAGGGGGCTCGAGCTGAGTGGGAGACCTCTTGTGGGGATGTGATGATACCGGATGAGGCTGATGGTAGCATTGCCAGTGCTTGTTGAGCCAGTCGGAGGTTCTCGAGATGACCATCGAGTACCTTCTGCATTGCCTCGGCGCCGGGTGATTGGTCGGATTGTCCAGGTGAGACGATCTCTCGGTTGACGAATTTCGAGAAAGGATTGCTGTCCAAGATCGGATATGTGGCTTCGGTGTTGACCTGTCTTGTGGGATCGGGATCGGTTCCAGATACAGTTTGTCGTGCCTGGGAGAGCTCATTTGCAATTTGATCAAATTCCTGCTCCATATTGATGAAGACATGGGATGATTGTGGACCAGTAAACGCAGGGATTCCTCCAAGAGCATCAAGGACAATGACACGGTCCAGAGAGACTTCTTTTTGAAGAGCAGTGATTCTCTCAACCGTGACTGCGGGATCCTCGTCCGGGTGTGGGTTTGAGGATAGTCCCGCAAACTCTTTCGTCAATGCAAGCGCAGCATCATTGGCAGACACCGGAACGGCACGAGGACTGTCTTCCGTATAAGCGATCGGCGGGACGAGAACCACATGGCCATCCCGAAGAGCACTCAGAAGCACTTTCCGAGATAGCACCGTGGGCGGCCCAGAGCCTCGCTCCGAGATGGTTAATGCAGAGTCCATTCGGAAAGATTTCGAGTCGGGCTGCTCATCGACTGCAGCCGATATCCGATTTGCTTGGTCAATGGCTGTTTGTCGCACGGCAGCAGCGCTATCCAGCTTTCCAGGATCGACAACCACGCAGCATGCCATTCCTAGGCGCACGAGCTGCGACAAGGTCTTGGCCACTCCCTCGATGACGGAATCATCGAGCAATTGCGGTGTAGTAATTTTGATCAGGGCCAAGTGTAGCCTTTCCGGCAATTCCTGTTCTCGTGGAGTAGGCGTAGTATCTTGTCGGAACACAGGACTGTCGTAAACGGCCCTAGAAGCACCGTAGAATGAGCCCAAATTTACACCAGAGGGAAGCGATGCCGATGAGAGCTCATTCAGAGGCTCGGTAGGTGATTTTTGGGCAGACTTGGTAGGGCTGGCTTTGAGCCGAGCTAGGTAGGACTTAGCTTCGCGCTTGGTGGATGCGGAGCTCAGCAAGCTGAGAAAGAATTCCTAAGCCAAGCAAAATGTCAGTACACCGAAATATTTACATAACAAGAACTCATTCTCATACCCGATCAAGCAATTTCTCCTTCGCTCGGCGACCTAAGCGGTCCTGGCTCTCGCTGCTGCCCGAGAACTCGGCGATTTGAGCTCGGAGATTGAGTGACTGTGCCGGGCGCACCGAGGTGGGGTCAGGACGAGCGACATGTTGCTGCCAGAGTCAGTCATTGCGGCCATTCAGTGAATCTATAATCCCTCACCGTCAACGAGGACTTCGCTGTCCGAGACCAGTTCAATGTTCGAGAACTCATAGCTAGGAACCCTGTTCGCCCTTTTAATGAGCTAGGAGTGGCCTCACCACCAAGAAGCAAGAGAATAGAGTCCTGGAGGAAGTAAAGCGGAGTGACTCAAAAGAAAATAATATGGAATGACGCCTCGGTTGTTCACCGCCTGTCGATCATCACCAAGATTGATAAGAGTCATTTATGTCCCCCATATCCACTTATGTCCGAGTAGTTTTATGGCCGAATAGAAGTCCGACTGGGTTTTAGTTGAATCTGTTTGTGTTATATAGAAGACTGCATGTGGGATGTTCTGCACTGTTTGAACCTACAAACACTAAGCTACCTCGTAATTTTCACAAGTCTTTAAGTATAACTTATCTATATCTTCTGTCAATTTGCCTAGATACTAGTTACTTTCATGTCGTCATGCAAGGCTATCTTGCATATCATTCACTTGGGATAGGTCAACTGCCTCTAACGAGCCCTGGAGGGGTTGGACACTAAATTACCAGCCATCCTTGCATGTATATAAATGGCCTATAGATGCCCCTCCAGTTATATCTTACCCTCCCATAAGCATAAATCAACAAGAAAAGTCGCATCTTACATTTAGATAGAATCTATGACATATATGATCTAACTGAGAATGTTCAAAATAATCATCGTCAACCTTATTACGGATAATACCAGCATACTCCGTACTCCGTATTGACCTACAGGTACCTCCAGGACCCCAGAGCTGACCCCTCTAAACCCTTTCAAGTACTCCTGCATGGGCACAGCCAAGCAAATCCAAAGCTTATGCATCAATCTCAAGGATCCCAGTGGACCCGGGGATTTAAAGAAATGCCACTAGAGTTGCATATAGAGGAATCTGGGGATTCTTAGAAAAACCAGACCGCTTTGGGGCAAAGGTCACGGTACCGAGGGGTACTTCGCAGAGGAACGGAAACCGGACGGGAACGTGGTATTGCTAGGTTTCTGTACTTGGACCCCCCGCCACTCAAAAAGTTCCTTCCGTTTCACTCTGCCCTCTTGATCAGCTTCTCGACAATTTTGAATACCTTCATATCGGAGTAAGTGTGCGTCATATCTGGACGACTTTCCCCCCTTCATCCCATGCGGCCGGTCGCACCCCTCCTTGCGCACAACTCTGTCGCAAATTCTTATCTGTTGGCCTCCAACCCCCTTTCAAGTCGGACAGATACTACTCACCTTGTTACTTGTTGTCTTTGTATTTTGTGGCCTAAATCACTTGCATTAGACTAATCCCCACTGTTCTAGATCGACCTCCCCTCAATCTCCATCCGCGCCACCAAGCCGGGCCCCCTGCCAATCGATCGTGGGCTAGTCTAGTACCCTCGCAAATCTCGATTCCAACCGTCACCACACTCTATACTTAGTTCGCTTGCCAATTGTCCGCCATGTCCGACCAGAGCGAGTACCCTTCCGAGTCCATTGGATCCGACAACGGACTGAGACCACTCTCCAATGTGGACGATCTGTCCCTAGGAAACCCTAGTAACAACGATCTGTCTCGCATCATGAACCGTGCCGGCATTGCGTTGGCCAATGGCTTCCCCCTTGATGATGACGAGGACGAAGAGGATGTGGATGAGGATTACGTTTCGGTCGACCAGGACGACGCAAATGATTTCCCATACTGGTTCCGTCGCCCGCCCACTCACCATCGCACCAAGCTGGATGAGCTGCACCCATTTGTTCAGTTGCTGTCTGTCTCAAATGTCGAAGACTGTATCAAGGTCGAAAATGCTTTCCCGGAGCCGGAGCGTTGCTCGCGTGACAAGGTACGGCTCCCCCTGCGGATTGTTACAAAGCCACAATATCGAAACAGATCATGCCATGTACTAGATCTGATCGAATGGTTGTGCTCGGATATTAGCGCAAAAGAAAACTGGAGACTCTTACTAACCTGTTTCTTTGTTAGTTTAAATATCGTCTCACTAGATGCCCTGAGCTTAGTCTCGGTCTTTTCACTCTCCCTCTTCTTGGAGAGGGAGAGCCCAAACCCCGCCCAACGCTTGTTGGGCATATCATCGCCACTCGCACCTCAGAGCCGCTTGTGACGGATCGGTCTATGCGCCTTCCGGACAACTGGCAAAATGAGCGTTGGTCCTTTGAGGACTCCCAGGCTGTTGGCCACGAAGAAGGTGGCAGCACCATTGCCATCCACTCTCTCGCCGTTGAGCCAGAGCACCAGGGCAAGCAAGTCGGAAGCACCCTGATGAAGTCTTATATTCACCGTATCCGGGAGGCCCAGATCGCCGATCGCATTGCAATCATCGCGCATGACCACCTGATTCCCTTCTATGAGTCGTTTGGCTTTGAGTCCCGCGGTCCCAGCAAGTGCCAGTTTGGTGGCGGTGGATGGGTTGATTTGGTATGTTATTTTGACAATCCAGACAATATCAATTGATACTAACCTTGGGTAGGTTCTGGAGTTTGGTCCTGAACCGCAGGAGTAGTTATACGTGGGTTTTTATTTTGCATCTTTTACGGCGTGGACCGTGTTAGGCCACTGTTGGGTTTTCTTTTCTTTTTTTTTTTTTTCCTTTGGTTTTATCATGCCCCCTATTACGCACGTTCATGTCCGGTGGGTTCCTATGGGTTCGAGAGAAAAGCAACGGAGTTTGGGGTGGGATTATGGCCATTCAATTCAGTTCTATGGATGGGATAGGAAAAGGCTTCCCGACCCAAGGCTTGTTTTGTTTATGTAGCATAGTTACAATGCAATGTACATGAACGCAGCCTGAATTGAGTAATTAACCCAGCTATCTTCTTAAAGTCTACTTAATAAGCTGTCTAACTACTTGCCCAGGTGTTTAGCAGATCTTTGCTTTACATCACGTGATCGCCTATCGCCATCCATCCAATCCCAATCCCCGCATTTGTCTCCCGCCCGGCAGAAAAGGATTGCCAACAATTTTTTTCGCGGAGAAAAACCCACTCTATCAACACCCATTCACCTCGGGATTACTTCAAGGGTCATTACTCGTTTGACTTTTGATTGTGCCCATCATGAAGACTACGTGGAAGGATGTGAGTTTCCCATTTCTCGCCCTCCTCGTTTTGCTCCGCTAATGAGTTTCACCGCTTGATTAGATTGCGCCAGTGCCCACAAACCAGGAGTTCCTGGATATTGTCCTGAGTCGGACTCAGCGACAGTTGCCCACACAGATTCGTGCTGGTTTCAAAATCAGCCGTATCAGAGGTACGATCCCTATGAGTTTTGGTCCGACATGGAGGGAACGGCAAATTGCAGAAAAAAGTTATCGCGGTTATCGATAAAGCATTGCTGACTGAATTTTTTCCTTTCAGGATTCTACACCCGAAAGGTCAAATATACCCAGGAGACTTTCTGTGAAAAGTTCCAGGCTATCCTCGATGGATTCCCTCGTCTGCAGGATATTCATCCTTTCCGTAAGTTTCGTTTCTTCTGTGGTGATGTTCGGGCGGGGTTTAACATCCACCAGACAAGGATTTGATGAACACTCTCTACGATGCCGACCACTTCCGTATCGCTCTTGGTCAAGTCTCGACCGCCAAGCACCTGATTGAAACCGTTTCTCGCGACTACGTCCGTCTTATCAAGTATGCGCAGTCTCTGTTCCAGTGCAAGCAGCTCAAGCGCGCTGCGCTCGGTCGTATGGCCACCATCTGCCGTCGTCTTAAGGACCCTCTTGTCTACCTGGAGCAGGTCCGCCAGCACTTGGGTCGTCTGCCCTCAATCGACCCCAACACTCGTACTCTCCTAATCTGTGGATACCCCAACGTTGGAAAGTCGAGTTTCCTGCGCAACATTACCCGCGCAGATGTCGACGTTCAGCCTTATGCTTTCACCACCAAGAGTTTGTTCGTCGGTCACTTCGATTACAAGTACCTCCGCTTCCAAGCCATTGATACCCCCGGAATTCTGGACCACCCCCTTGAGGAGATGAACACCATTGAAATGCAGTCCATCACCGCAGTTGCCCATTTGCGCTCCGCTATCCTCTACTTCATGGATCTTTCCGAGCAGTGTGGTTACTCTGTCGGTGACCAGATCAAGCTCTTCCACAGCATCAAGCCTCTTTTCGCCAACAAGATTGTGTTCATTGTTATCAACAAGATCGATGTGCGCCGTCCCGAGGATCTGGAGCCTGAGTACCAGGAGCAGCTCCAGGAGATCCTCAAGGCTGAGGATGTCGAGATGCTGCAGGCTTCTTGCACCACCACCGAGGGTGTGACCGCTGTCAAGAACGCTGCCTGTGACAAGCTTCTCGCTGAGCGTGTTGCCCAGAAGCTCAAGTCTGGCTCTAACAACGCCACTCCCGGTGGCCGTCTCGGTGACGTTCTGTCCCGTATTCACGTTGCCCAGCCCATGGGTGGTGTCCGTGAAAGCTTTATCCCCGAGGCCGTCAAGGAGCTCAAGAAGTACGACAAGAACGACCCCAACCGCCGGAGACTGGAGCGCGACCTCGAGGAGGAGAACGGTGGTGCTGGTGTCTACAGCTTCGACATGCAGCGCGACTACACTCTGGCAGACAAGGAGTGGAACCACGACAAGATTCCCGAGGTGTGGAACGGCAAGAACATCTACGACTTCGTGGACCCGGACATCGAGACCAAGCTCGCTGCCCTCGAGGAAGAAGAAGAGAAGCTCGAAGCCGACGGTTACTACGAGTCGGACGAAAGCGTGGAAGATGCCGAAGACGCCGACACCCGCATGAAGGCCGATCTGATCCGCGAGAAGCGCGTGCTCCTCCGCAACGAAGCCAAAATGCGCAAGTCGCTCAAGAACCGCGCCGCCATCCCTCGCAGTGCCAAGGCCAAGAAGCTCTCCGAGATGGAGAAGGGTCTGGACTCTGCCGGCTACGATATCGATGCCGCTGGCTCCCGCGCCCGGAACCAGAGCCAGGCCCCCCGTGGCCGCACCTCCACCCGCGAGGAAACCCGTGACGATGACGCCATGGACATCGACACTCCCCACAAGGCCCTTGCCCGCGCTAAAAGCCGTGCCCGCAGCACACCTGCCACTGACCGTCGCCATGATGGTGTTACTAGCATTGGTAACCGCGACAAGGCTGAGCGTATGGCCAAGCTAGGCCAGAAGAAGATGAACCGTATGGCCCGTGCCGGTGAGGCTGATCGTCACACGACCGCCTCGCTCGCCAAGCACTTGGTATGTTCTCCCTGTAATCCTGTTTCACTTTTTGTCTCACTGCTTACCTTTTTTCACTACAGTTCTCCGGAAAGCGTGGTATGGGCAAGACGGACCGTCGTTAAGCCCAACTCTGCCGTATATGCGGAAACGAGACCCATTCTTAATCATTGTCCATTGGTTTCGATACCGGGTGCAAAATGGTGTTGGGCGTTTTACATTCTTGATTTTTTCTTCTTTCTTTTCTCCATTTGTTCCGAAGAAATGTTCATTTGACGTGCATTTTGTTTCCACGACTGTTCACGGATGATTCGTTTGTCCGGTCTGATTTTGTGGGAGTGTTTCTCCTGGTCAATAGCACAGAAAAGTTCTTGACTTGATGATCTCACATATACCAATCCAGATGAAGCTTATGGTACATTGGGGTGTCTTCGATAGTTTTGTATTCCACCTTTCCCGTCTTGTACTCTGTACCTGTAAGGTTAAACATTCTAACCCCAAGCCTTGTAATCTTGGCCAGGTGGCTAGGGTGAGACGGGTGGACCCTGGACTTGTTCACCGGTGTCTTGAACAGTTGCACAAAACGGCGTGCCCTAGATACTGTAGGTTCTTCAACCCGCGTGCGCATCACGCTGCTACAGCACAGTGCATCATCAGATCCCAGATATGTGACCTCATGTTGACAGCTGATAGCTAGTAGCTGGAAACATCCAGCATCAACAGTATGATGCTTATCTGCATCACCTGTTAAAAGCAACGCACATGTAGCACAATGTTCCCTACTGAGTGTGATCCAACTGGACATGTGCTACAGACAAGAGGCAAAGAAGGGAGCATCTTGCCTGGGTTGAAGAAAGATAGAGAAAACATGGTCAAACCCCTAGTCTGTCACCCGTCCTCCACAGGGTTTTGCTTCTGCCATGACCACCTCTCTAACTCCAACTGCAACCCCAACCGCAACCCCAACCCTACGCAACGGCTACCGATGCAGTATGACGGCATCCTTTAACTAAGGAGCATAGAGTATGGAGTAAAGCGCGATTTTTTGGCTAATGGGTGTGATCATCTATGGAGTTGTGTTTCATAGTGGATGTACATGTACAGGTATGGAGGAATTTCATAGGCTTTTCCTATTTGGGACGTTGGATGTACATCCACACGTCATTGGATATTCGACAGAGATTGGGCTAGATGGGATTGTTTTATTGTTTAATTTACTGCTGATTTTTACATGGAATTGTGTTAATTTCGGTTCCTTGTTTGGCTGCCAATTTGCCAATTTGCCAATGTGCCAATGTGCTGTACCAAGTGCCAATGTACCAATGCCAACGTACCAAGATACCAACCAAGACGCTAACCTTGGAACAGTGCTTTGTCTAGATCGTGGACAGCATTGGCTTAATTATTTTTTCCATGTTTGTTCGTATCTGAATATTATTTGACAGGAAGATACAGCACAGACAATGGAGTAAAATTATCTTGGCTGTACACCATTTTGCAAATATGCATGCACGTCTGTACTACTGCAGTACAGACTTTTGTCAACCCGACCTCTCCCGAGAGATAGTCGTGACATTGTACAACAAAATCCCAACAGCTAACATCGGCAAGAGAGCGAATGCGAGGCGATTGGACCTAATCCCTGCACACTAAACTGAAGAGAAAGCCCCACTTATAATTTTGTTGGACTGGACCTTCGAACGGTGGTCTGATTCCTACAGAGTTTTCCTAGGTGGTTCACCGCAGATCAAGGGATGTGGGTCTCTGTTTTCGGACAGGGATGCCGAGAACAACAAACATGCCAGTAAATAAATAGAAGGGGGAACGCGTCTTCAAGGAATGTAAATGTGAGAGTGTGCCTACCGTTCCCTACGTACTAAAATTAATATCCTGACATCGGTGGCCAACCGAACCCGAGCAGTCACGGCATTGACCGGTGATGCCAAGTCGGGATCCTACTCGGCTCGGGACAGAAAGTGCAGCAAAGTCGGGCATTCGGTGTGCCGATTTGGCTTAAGTGGAGTCACCGAAATCTCTGCGCGGGAATCGACCGAAGCCTCGTGGGTCTCTTCTATTGCTCACTGTTCAGTTTTCTTATCTTCGAGTTGGCATTTGCTTCAAAAAGATATAAATGGGACTCTCCCTCTGTTTCCATCTCTTTTTCTTCACTGTTATGCTATTAACTGCAATCGGATTTACCCCTTACACCACGCCAAGCTTTTCAGCCATGATCAGCGCCAAGTCGGGCTCAGCGAATCCTTGACCCACATAGTAAATTTTACTAGACATTTTATGTTATTTTAGTTATTTTTTTGTTTTCACCTTCTCTGTTGGGAACCCACCGGTTTCAGGCGCTTTGTTTCGTAATTTTCCCGATCCCTCTGCAAACTCTGCAAATTTGTGTATGTTCGTACAGTACCTGTTTATACTAGTGACGCCCACGAAGCATAGTTCATACCATCGGCACCAGAACCGAGTACAAGCCGGCCCCGGCACTCTAGACACTATGAGTGATTATTTTTGTCACGATCATTCTTACGTTTCCTCTGTGGAATATCCTTTTACCCGTCATCCCCACGGATTCTTGGCCCAGGCACGGCATTTTCATTCGTACGTTTGGCCCGAGGACCCAGAGAACTAAACTGAATCACGCAGGTTTCTAGAAGGTGGCAAGAAGGTCGGGTGATCAGATTTCTTTTTCCCTACGAATTACACAAACATAGAGTAGAGGTGCATAGCAGTGGGAAGTCATCCCTAGATCCAATTGTGATGAAAACAATGCTTCTAGAAGGGATAAAGGGATATGTCAACATGGGACGTTTTCATTTCACGTGGACAATCTCTCCACTCTCTCTCCACTGCTCCAAACACGGAGAGTACGGAGTGCAGAGACGCTAAAACTGCCCGTGGAGATGAAATTTACTTCCCCATTTCGGAAGTGGGACAGATCCGGGCACCCCATTACCCTTGGTACCCCGAGGGGTATTTAGTCGCTGTTTTCCCCTTCCCTTTCCTCTTCTCTTGTTTTCTTGTTTTTCATTACTCCTACCCATAATATCAGTGAATTCATCTTTCACTATGGGTATCTCTTCTTTTATGGACCGGGTCAAGCCCGCCAAGTCCGAGTCCCAATTCTCTTCACAGGCCGCTACTCCCTCGCGTGCCGACTCTACCTGCATTGAGAAGGACAACATCACTCTCGATGACAGCCCTGTCAAGTACCTCACATGGCGTTCCTTCATCCTGGGCCTGTGTGTCTCCATGGGTGGTTTCATTTTCGGATACTCTACCGGTAGGTCACACAACACTGTCGTGAGGAATGCAACGCTAATCGAACTCAGGTCAAATCTCGGGTTTCACTACCATGGGCGACTTCAAGCGTCGCTTCGCTGAGTACGACGCCGCCACCGGTGAATATGCCTTCAGCAACGTTCGCAACGGTCTCATTGTCGGCCTGGTACGCATATACCCTGTCTCGCGGACAATACATCCCGCTAACACATGGTCCAGCTCTCTATCGGTACTATGATTGGTGCCCTGGTTGCTGCCCCCATTGCGGACCGTATTGGCCGCAAGCTCTCCATCTCCTTCTGGGCCCTCCTCCACATTGTTGGTATCATCGTGCAGATTGCCACCAGTGACAAGTGGTACCAAATCGCCCTCGGCCGTTGGGTCGCTGGTCTGGGTGTCGGTGCGCTCTCCAGCGTCGTCCCCATGTACCAGAGTGAGTCTGCTCCTCGTCAGGTCCGTGGTGCCATGGTCAGCGCTTTCCAGCTGTTCGTTGCCTTCGGTATCTTCATCTCCTACATCGTCAACTTCGGTACCTCCAGACTCGACAACGATGCTTCCTGGCGTATCACCATGGGCATTGGCTTTGCCTGGCCTCTGATCCTCGGTGTCGGCACTCTCTTCCTCCCCGAGTCTCCCCGTTACGCCTACCGTCACGGCCGTGTCGAGGAGGCCCGCGATGTCATGTGCAAGCTTTACGGTGTTCCCACAAACCACCGCGTCGTCGCCCAGGAGATGAGCGACATGAAGCAGAAGCTTGAGGAGGAGCTCGCCAACGGCGACGCCCCCTGGCAAGAGGTCTTCACCGGTCCCCGCATGCTTTACCGTATTCTTCTCGGTATCGCCCTGCAGTCCCTGCAGCAGCTGACCGGTGCCAACTTCATCTTCTACTACGGAACCAGTATCTTCAACGGTATCGGTCTGAGCAACTCCTACGTCACCTCCATCATCCTCGGTGCCGTCAACTTCGGTATGACCCTCCCCGGTCTGTACATCGTCGAGCACTACGGTCGTCGCAAGTGTCTGATGTACGGTGGCGCCTGGATGTTCATCTGCTTCATGATCTGGGCCTCCGTCGGCCACGAGATCATCCACTCCGACCCTACCAACCACTCCGCCGGTATTGTCATGATCGTCTTCACCTGTCTGTTCATTGTCGGCTTCGCCACCACCTGGGGTCCCATCGTCTGGGCCATCTGTGGTGAGATGTACCCCTTCCGCTACCGCGCTGTCTGCATGGGAGTCGCCACCGCTGCCAACTGGACCTGGAACTTCCTCATCTCCTTCTTCACCCCCTTTATCAACAACACCATCGACTTCCGCTACGGTTACGTCTTCGCTGCCTGCTGCTTCCTCGCTGTCTTGGTTGTCTTCTTCTTCGTCAACGAGACCCAGGGCCGCACCCTCGAGGAGGTCGACACCATGTACGTCCTCCACGTTAAGCCCTGGAAGTCCTCCAGCTGGGTCGCCCCTGAGGGCATCGTCGCCGATCTCCACGGTACCGCCGATGCTCAGAAGGAGGGCGAGGCTGGCGCTGGCCAGCACCAGCACCACGATCAGACTGCCGAGATTCGGGAGGAGTAGATGTGATGCTACGATATGATGTGCAAGATGACACCGGCACGGTGCATTGCTTTGTTCTTTTAAAAATATTTCTATGTGCATACTTATGTCTCTATTATTGACCCTTAGTTGTGTCTCCACCATATCCCTAGGAGACCTTGATTCTTAATGGCATGAAGCAATTAGCTTTACAAATTTTCCATCCAAGTAATATGTAAAGATCAAACTATAAACATAAACCTAACAATATCTACTCCCCCTTCTCCTTCCCATTCTCAAACTCCAACCCAGCCCTCTGCCTAACAACCCCATAAACAGCAGCAATATCCCCACTCTCCCCCCGTTCCCCCTTAACCCCCTCCAACAAAGAATCAGTAACCTCAACATTCCTCATGCGCTGTCCAGCCCCCTCCGCAATCCCATAAGCATGCCTCAAATCCTTCCTGGCAAGATCTACCGCAAAAAGCGGCTCCTCCCGCTGATAATAATCGCCCCCAACCATCCTATCGGCATACTTCGCAAAAGGCCCCGGCGCAAACAAATCAATCCACTCCTTCAACGGCCCAACACCCAGTCCAGAGGTCTCAGCCGCGACAAGTGACTCGGCTAGTACACCGACGGTATTGAGGATAAATGTGTTCCCGATGACTTTCATCGTAGATGCCTTTCCGACATCGATATCGGATCCAGTTCCACTGGATAGGTCAATGCTCTGTTTGGCGACTACGCCGTCGAGGAAGGGTCGTGCTTTCGCAATGGACGATTGTTTACCAGCCGGTACGACAATCAAGCCGCCTACATCGGCCATATTCGGCGCGCCGAAGACGGGGCATGCGACGAAGCCCGCGCCGCGGGCGTTGTAGGCGGATTCCGTTTTGCGCGATGTGTCTGGGTGCACGGTTGAGCAGTCGATGAATGTTTTGTTGCTTAGATCGAGGGTCTTGTCTTCTAGGATTGTGGTCACGATTGAGTCGAGCGCTGCGTCGTCGCCGACGCAGGTGAAGATTAGGTCGGCTTTGTTAACGGCTTCGTTTAGGGTTGCGGCGACTGTTGCTTTGTCGCCGAGTTTCTGGGCGTGGGCTGTTGCGCGGGATTGGGTGCGGTTGTAGAGGATTAAGGGGCCGTTTTGGGGCCCTTTCTGGGCGATGTTTAGGCTCATGCCCTGGGGCTCTTTGTTAGTTTGGAGTTGGGACTAGGACTGGGGCTGGGGTTGTTCGGATGTGCCGAGGGGTATGTCGTATGTTGTTTGTGTTACGGATGGATTGGTTGACTTACCCGGCCAATGTTACCGAGGCCAATCCATGCAACGCGAGGTCCAGACATGGTGAGTAGGTAATTGAGTCAATTGGGTTGAGGTATTGTGTAGAGATAGTTGAAAAAGAAGAAGAGAAATCGGCTTTATGTCGTCAAAGTGTGGGGCAGATGTGGGGTAAAACCGATGGTTCAGTTCTTATCCGGTGGGAATACTTGTATTCAGAGAGAAATGCAGGATTGGACGTGTTTATATCCAACTACAGTAACCAGAAAGTTCAAGGGATTCAGTCATGCTCGGTGTTCCATCAACGCGAATATAGAGTGTTTCTAATCTGTGAGTCACTAAGCCCGAAGTCCGAGGTGTGGGTCACGCCATATAGACATGCATATCTACACTAAAGTCTCGACTTCTCCTTCTCCTTGCCCTTCTCCTCAATAGCAACATCCTGGAACGGCAACCCCAGATACATCCACATAAACGCAAACCTACCCCAAACCGCAGTCAGCCTCTAATCCATCATCGCCCAAGAAAAAAAAGTATACAAATACATACCGATCACTCCCAAAGAAAGGCTCCTCCTTCCCCTCAGAATTCCTCACCCAAAACCAAGGCGCCCCATAAGCACCTTTATCAAGCGCAGTCTGCGTATTAGCCGTCAAAGCCTCCTTAAACTCAGGCTTGGACGCCGAGGCGAGGATCTCCCCACCTCGGAATCGGAGTACCCATTGCTTCGGAAGACTTCTGCCAGATTCTCTGGCTTGCTGATGTCGATTCCCTTGTAGAATATCCATTCCCAGAGGGTAAGGAATGTTTTTTCGTATTTCTCACGCGGGAAGTTACGTTTGATATAGATCATGCAGCGTTGGGGCTGTTTCAGTGAGATTTTGGGTTGGATTGAGATCTAGGGGGAATATAGGAGCATACCAGGATTGAGAGGATTGGGAAGAACGCTGGTGGTTTGATCTGTGGAACCCCGAAGTATTTACATGCTCGCTCCCCGTCGAATTTGGAGTATGCTGCTTTGGCGGGGAGGGTCCAAGGGGGTTTGTTTCCTTTTGTTCTAGTTTTAGGGACTTTTCACGGTGTATATGTGGTTAATTTAGACGACATACCTGAACCAACATTGATCCCGCCTAGGAAAACCGGATGGAATCTGTTCGGGTATTAGTTCACGTCCATGTTGAAATTAGCAGTCACGGGGGTAATCCCAGTATTGAACATACTCAACCTCGATACCGTACGACTCTAAAGCCTTGCGATTCTTCCTGAGGTATAGCGTCGCATAGTATGAATATGGCGATACTATCCAGGTGGTAATGTGATTAGCGAATGAGACACAAGTCGCGATGCCAGAGGTGGGGCTGGGCTTTGCATACCGCAATCCACGTAGGCGTCAATCTTGCCCGGCATGACGCTAAGTATATTGCTTATGTGTGATGAAGTGTCTTCCAGTTAGAGTGTGTTGAAGATGAGGTGATCGGTGGTATATAGCTGGGGTAGCTGGAGGTTGAAAGGCCGAGGTGGAGATGGACCGAGGCTCCGACGATGAGTGATGAGTGATCATCAATTTCTGAGTTAGGAATATCCGAAACTTCCCAACCACATTAGTTACTACATATTATATTGGAGATAGAACTATTAAATATAGGCGGAATGCTATTTTTTTATACATTAAATATTAAGGTATATACAATACAGACAATTGAGCTCTGGTTGTGTTACGTGCTGTTCTTCCGCACATATCTAGAGCTGTCTCCGCGTTTGGCATCAACTTCGAATCCGGTATATCTGCCGATTCACCACGGGCGCATCATCTGATGTTCACTGCCGAGGGTGCTGAGATCCCCTGTTCCGTTCATCCCGCGGCGGGGGAACCAGTGCTGAGACCTGGACTTTGGTCGTGTAGAGTCGACCATGAGAATCAACTCTGCACTCGATGTGCGAGAAATATCTGGTGGTTAATATTCAATACCGTCAATCAAATGGCATGAACATCCGTGAAAGAAACATAGTGAGGTATTTCAACCCCATCTCACAATCCATTCAATCCTTGCGATGTCCACTGATAACCGATTGCTTAGTATTTACCAAATCCAAATCATACGGATTCTCCTCATACTGCGTAGCAGTAGCAACACGATGCATAGAGCGACCAGACTGACGCGAAGCCCGAGAAGCATGACGAGCAATAGTGCCGCGCGAAGGAACAGTAGACAAAGTATCATCATCACTAGAATCAACCTCATCTGGCAAAACAGCATTCGGGGCCATCTTCCCGGATTCCTCTTCCTTCTCAGTGCGCACCTCAACCTGAGCCTGATTCTTCTGGGCAAGACGCTGCATAAAGGCATCCGCCTCAGCGGCGTAGGTGCAGCGTTTCCGGATGTGCGCGCCATATTTATAGAAGATGAATGGAAAAGGCACACATGCCAGCGACAGGAAGGCCGGGATCGATGATGCCCAGTGAATTCCTAGGTTTTCATACATGTATGTAGTGAAAAGAGGGAAAGCCATGCCGAATAGGGAACGGAGGGCTGAGTTTGCTGCTAGCACCGAAGCAGCGAAGATGGTGTAGGAGTCGATGAGGTAGTTGAAGACGCTGAGGAAGACGAGGACCATTCCGAAGCCGAAGGGCGCACCTGCTGCTACCGAGGCCATCCAGTGGATACTTGGGGAGTTGGTCCAGGCGAACCAGAAGAGACCTATCGGGAGGGCTATGCCGCCGACCATGCTTGGAGGGAGGCGGAGCTCTGGGGCGAGACGGTCGGTTGTTTCGGCGCATTTTTTGGCGTAGCGGAAGTTCTCCGGGAAAGTGTAGGCTACTGCTATTATCATTCCCACGAGGATGCCTAGGAACGCGAGGCCGCCGATGCCTTCGCTCCAGCCGCGGACTTGTTGGAAGACGATTGGGTAGGCGGCGAAGAGCATGTAGAGGGTGCCGTAAATGATTGACATGTATATGGAGAAGAGGAGCACGATTGGCTCGCGGAAGAGGAGAATCCAAGGGCGGGAGAGGGCTGTTTTTAATGTTTTGCTCATAGGAACAGGACCGCGGGTGATGTCAAGGTGGCTGCGGTATACGTTCCCGGTCAAAGCTGATAATTTCTCTGCTCGGCGGCGGAGGAGGACAGGGGCATATGTCTCTGGTAGGAGAAAGATGATACATAGCCAGAGCAAGCCAGAGAACGCGGCGAGGAAGCCTTCAACCCAGCGCCAGCCCGCTCCGGTGGCTAGGAAGCCGCCTATAACTGGACCAAGGGTAGGACCGAGAAACGGTGCTGCTGCAAATAGAGAAATGGCAATTCCACGTTGCGAGGCTGGGAACATGTCTGCAATAGTGCCACCCGCATTACCGAATGGAGAAGAGCCAAACGATCCCGCTAGGAAACGTAGGATAATAAGAGTTTGGATGTTCTGAGCACCCGCCGAGCCCGCATTGAATGCAGTTAAGAACATGAATGAAATGGTGAAGATATGGCGACGGCCGAAGATCTCACTGAGAGGAGCCCAGATCAAAGGGCCTATGGCAAAACCGAGGACAAACAGCGAGACGCCCAAGATGACGACTTCCTCGGGGGATCCAAAATCCTCTATAATCTGGCTCATTCCACCCGAGAAAGCGGATGATACCAGTGAGACGGCCAGTGTGACAAAAGACACTAAAAGTGTGATGGCCCATTTCTTCATTGCATGAAAGTTCATGGGGTTTCGTGGATCATTTGGGATCCAAACCACGGCGTACGGATCATCTTCGGTTCCTGAGCCTGTGTATGGATATTGCACGATTTCCTCAGTGACGACTTTTTGGTCGAATACCATGCGCCAGAAGCTGATCTTGGAGGGATGTGTGGTCTCGCCTCCATTGGGGGCCATTTTGATAGATCTGGCCCTGGTCAGGGGCAAATGTAATGAACGTTGATAAATGAATTTGTAGTAAAAAGAGTCGGAGTTTCAGAGAAAAAAAGCAAGATCACCAATGATCAACGATCAGCCCCAAGGTATCAAAGAAACATAGCAAAAAATTGAGAAACCTGATGTCTCAAAGGAAAAGATCAACCCCACTTTGATAACAACCGAAGCCATGCCTCGGCTCGATTTGATGTCGAACAAATCAGAGTCGACCAATGATTCGGCAAATGTTTGCCGGTCTCAGAATTTTCAGTGGAGCCTCATCAAGCCCTGACTCGCGATCTAAATGTCGGCCCGTTTTCCAGAGTTTTCACGGCTTCCCGAAAGCTTGAATGGCTTGGCATGGGTTGCAATATTATATCTGGGACTACTTAGGTACATCTACAATTGGGATTGATCAATACATGTAAGTAGAGGAAAAACGACACTTCACGTTGTATCCCCATATATTCCAGCCCCAGTTATTGCAGTGGATTTGAGCGGGTCTTGATTATTCTTGACAAATGATGGTTGCCACGTCGTCACTAGTATTTCTGTCAACAATATCACTAATGTACAGTTCCGATATAACCGAAGCTGGAGATTTGTAATTGATTTATATCTTGCGCAATTCCCAAATTGCCGGGTAAGCACTATTTTTAGTTTCCGACAGTCAGTACATAACCCTGAGGTATTTCATTGTACCTCTTTGATTCTTGTCTTTACGCGATAGACATTACGGGTAAGGTCTCTCTGGTGGATTGATCTAAGATTATCGGCACGTGTAAATAGATCAGAAATTAATGCTTCTTCTTTCCGTAACTCATATAAACAGCTTACCATGTTGTCAGGGTCACGCCATGAGGAGGCAGGTCAGCGATCAGTTTTTATTGCACCGTCAAGCTACCAGGGTTCTCACATATGCACAGGATTCCCTCTGCCATTTCTTCGCTTTCCTTTTTCTTTTGAATGCTTAGGCCCTCTCGCCTTTTGTTAACTAAAACTGAGCACAGCAATAACTACATATCAGCAATGTCCGCTATGTCCTTTTAAAAAGTAGCGTTTAGTGTACCTTTACATATATTTGAAACTGACTGCTCCACGTATGTCTATTTTACGTGGGTTCAAACAAATCCCCGTACCCGAGGATGAGGGCTACTATCTGTCTACTGTGGCAAGTGAGTGGTTCATATAGAATATTTTCAACGTCATATATACTAAAGGCTCTAATTTAGCTGACATTATGGAACGGATCGCGTTCCAGAGAGCGAGAGACAGTACCATCTCGGAGGGCCAAGCTGAAGACTTGGAAAAGGGTTGCGCGGAGTGCTACAACCAAAAGATTGAGCCGGATCTCGGAAGAACTACTTTGTAGCTACAGACTCCAGTTCCAAATCATAGTAAGCCATTACCTGCACAACCTTAGTCTCCTGGATGCGAGTGACTGAATTTTGTCTTCTAGCAATGTCCTTTTCAGGGAGCGGAAAGACGGCAGGCCGTAAAGCATTTTGGCAAATAGCCGCGGTAAAGGAGTAGCTTAACATTATTCAAACTTGGGAGGATTATGTCAACCAACCCACGTTGAAGTTGCTTTTGCCTTGACCAATAGATATACATAGGAAAGTTGTGTTCTGACCACCGTCTAGGCTTTGGCAAGCAATTGAATAGACTGAGTTAAATTGAGAGACGTAGTAAGGCACATTAATTACAAGAGAATCTCGTGAAATTCCATTAGAAGCTAAAATGGTGTTAGAAACTACGAAGCCACTCGAAGCTTACCAGATCGAACCATCTAAATATCAAAAGATCGCGTCATGGTCATCTATGGGTTATCCAATGAGATAAGATACCCCGCATTTTGACCAATTTAACATCAACAGACCAGGGATAGTTTCGACTGTATCTACAAAGGAGTACCTTTCCACTAATCAGTATAGCACTTAACATCATATTTATGCCACTCATACAATAGAACCAATCATGTCAGCCCACTTCCCCGTGCCCCCGGGCACACAAACCGTTCAGGTCCGAATCATTGACACTACCGTACGAATGGACAAACTCCCAGTGGAGTTCATCATGGAACCGCCCATGGAAAGAATGCCGCACATGCCTACAATGCCGGCATGGTCATTCCTGATCGAACATCCCTCTGGTCAGAAATTACTTTTCGATCTTGGTGTTCCGAAGGACTGGAGGTCGTTTTCCCCGTTTGTGGTTGGACGTCTGGAAGCGTCAGGTTGGGAAATTAATGTTGAAGAAGAGGTTATTGATATCTTAGAAAGGAATGGTGTTGCGGCGGGTGATATTTCGGGTATTATTTGGAGGTATTATATGCCACTCCCTGCTCGTTTATGACCCGAGAACCTGTGATTAATTGCAATTGATATAGCCATTGGCATTGGGATCACCTAGGTGATCCCTCACGATTTCCACCCTCAACCGATCTAATCGTCGGACCTGGTTTCAAAGATAATTTCTTACCGGGATATCCAGCAAACCCCAATTCAGCAGTACGCGAGTCTGATTTTGCGTAAGCCCATACCCTACTTCCCAATTACGAACCCCCCAACTAACACAATAACCAGTGGAAGAAGCCTGAATGAAATAAACTTCACAAACACCCCCCAAACAGGCCAATTCCGCGCCTTCGATTTCTTCGGCGACGGTTCATTCTATCTCCTTGATACACCAGGCCATGCCATAGGCCATCTCAGTGGATTAGCACGCACAACCACCAGCCCAGACACATTCATCTTCATGGGCGGTGATCTGTGTCACCACAGCGGCGAAATAAGACCTTCCAAACATATGCATCTCCCTTATGATATCCCCGCCGCAATTCCGTCCTGTGTACTCCCGTGTCCCGGGACTGAGGCTTATGAACAGTTCTTGGTTAGTCGCGGTAGCTCTGTTGATGAGCCGTTTTTTAGACCAGCGGCTATGATTGGGGTTGAGATTGGGGAGACTATGAGGACTATTGTGAAGGCACAGGAGGCGGATGCCGATTCGAATGTTTGGTTCATTTTTGCGCATGATCCTAGTTTGATTGGCGTGGCTGATTTCTTTCCTTTGAGGGCTGATGGGTGGATGGAGAAGGGTTGGAGAAACAAGACTCTTTGGTCTTTTTTGAGGGATTTTGATGCGGCTGTTTATGCGAAGATGCAGATGTAAATCTTGTTGACCCGTTATGTCTGCCTGCATTGATATTATTTATGTATAACTTATATGTAGCTGTATCATGTAGCTACAAAACCTGCCAAGCCTCCCTGTGCAGGACAAGCCAGGACATCCGAATGCTTTTCTCCATCGTTGCCGTTATTTCCAGGAGGTAAGGCCTACTGAGGGAAGGGTTAGGCCATGTCTAGGCTAAACAAGGCGCTCACGCTGTGGACACCGAGGACTTTGGTAGAAGAGTGCATAGTGATTCGGTCACGCTGGTGGGCTTCTGCAGTCCAGGGTTAGCTATTTTTCTCTCACTACCCGTCTCAAGTTGTATGGTACTCTAGATTGTATTTCTCATAGGTGTATCTCATCTGGGTGTTGTTCTGAGAATGGTTCTAGCTCAGATGTAGGAAAACTACGGCATCATCCTTTTTATACCTGCATACCAGCACTGTCGGTTATATGTTGTCCTTCATCGGAAGAAAACATGGGGCAAAATATGTTGCACAACAAGATCGACATTATCGAGCCCTCATCAAGACTCCCCTTGCCCGAGATGCTGCAATCTAAAAATGGATCGTGGGGTTGACGTTTTGATCATAATATCAATATTTTGATGAGGTCAATGTGGCGTCCCAAGAACTATTTTCCATACGCCGGTAAATTTACCCCATCTTTTTGTCAGGCCGGCAGAGTTGTCGGGACAAATTAATGTCCCATGGGGTCTCCCTGGAGGAAGACTTACTGGGGGCCACTATAAAAGCCAGAGAAAAGAGAAAAGACCAGACAATCGCCTACTAGTAAGATTCTATGCTTTAAAGCAATTTTAACTAGTTTGCTCACTATATAGTCCGGTTTTTATTTTAGTGTCATTCATTGTAATCATGGTATTTCCAAGATGTGTTCTGTTACGCCACTTGGATGGGTGCGGCTATAGGTGCATTTCCAAGGACAACAGCATTTGGTTGGTAGTTCTGCTGCTCTTCTTTCGACTGTTCGGCAGCTAATAGCAGGCGCGTAGAACGAATATGTAATTCTGACGAATCAATATTAATTCTCTCCATAGGAAAGGTAACTCACCTTCCAAGTCCACCTCATAAGCAACATCCGAACCCTCATCCCGATCATCCTGATGCACAAGCACGGGCAAGGAAGGATTCCACTCCTTAGGCCGCACACGCATCTTCAACCCAACGGTCTCCTCCGTATCAACCCACAAAATCTCATCGGAATCAGGCGGAATCAGAACCTTCTCAGTCCCCTCCTCCCTAGCCCGTTCTATAGCTGCCTTCCATTTCCGACTCTGCCGCAACAACCAATCCCTCCACAACCGAACGACTCCATCCTCGATAGTCAAAGCACTCAACAACAACGAAGTACCCGGCAAGACTTGCACAAGATTAGCCACCACACACAGCTGCGAGAAGTCCTCAAATCCATCTAACATCACCTCCCGCGTTACAGCGCCGTCATCATCATCTCCACCCCGATTCATGTCAGCTCTGATAAACCCTGCAACCCCCGACAACAGAAGCATCCTACCTGGCGATGGTACAAGACGGGCACCATTTCTCCCTGTTGTACTGTTCTTCTCTTCTGGCGTGCACACTTCCGGTCGAAAACGGGAGTATAGTCCCGTTACCCGGCTGAGTTGGTGGGCTGTGTCGACGTTCTCGTATAGTGAGCCTTCCCCATCATGGCGCTCGCTGAGGCCGTCTGTGCCGAGATATTTGCAGAATACGTGTGGCTCTGTCAGCTTTGAGCTGGGGTGGAAGCATTCTAGGAGGAGTTTGTATTCTTTCAGCGGGGTGCTGAAGAGGAGGCGGTAATGGAGGATTCGGAGGACTAGGGCGTGGAAGCGGTGGCAGACTGATGTTAAGGGGAGTAGGGCTTTTGTTGAGAATCCTGATAGGATTTGGACAAACACCTATAGTGAACGGTTGTTAGGTTTGTTCGTTGGCTTGGTCGGGTGGGAGGTTTACCTCATTTGGAAGAGAGTCCAGGGTAACGGAGTGGTTCATTGTTGCGCGTTAACTGTGGGACAGTATAGGGCTCAAGTTAGTATACTCACGCTAGGACAGGGGGTCAATATAAGAATGTCGACAGTGGTGGTGGTGTGTTGGATTGCGTTGTTGATGGCCTGATAGAGATAGGGACATGCACTGACGTCACTACTTTGGGTTGCACAATGCAAAGCAGGACACGATGGGAATTGATCAATGTTGGTATGTGTAGATGATGATGTGTGTAGATATGTTTGTATGTTATCTATGCAGCTGTACAACCAACTAAACAAACGTCATTTCCCCGGAAAAAGTGCGGGATGCCGAACCCTTTACGGCTCACCGAGAGACGGGGATGTCATGCCAAGAATCAAGGATGTCGGCAATGTTATACACATGTACGGAGTGACTGCAAGTCTATTAAGCATGATTGTGCAGAATATACCATTACAATTGTAAACAAACTAAAGACATCTACCCCTTGCATCTACAAACAATCCCATTCGCTTAGACTCAGGGCTTCAGGGCTTGACTCCGGATACCCCGACCCCGCGACCCCACCGGACTCCGGAGAATATTTGCCGATTCCCGGGGTGGCCTTTTCTTCCCATCTTTTTCCCTTGTTCTCTTTCTTTCTTTCAAGGTCCTCTGATCATCTCTAGCTATGGCCAAGGTACTTGATGATATCTCCCACAGGAGGTTTAACCTCCTTCGTGGTTCCTCCATTTTGGTCTCTCCCCACCGAACCAAGCGTCCCTGGCAGTAAGTACTTCATTAATTGGAATCTATTCGCGCACACTTCCTAATAAAAACATTTAGAGGAGCGCAGGAAAGTCCCTCCAAGACCACCCTCCCCAATTACGATCCCGAATGCTACCTCTGCCCCGGGAACCAACGTGCGCAAGGTGACATCAATCCGAAGTATGAAAGCACCTTCGTGTTTGTCAACGACTACAGCGCCGTAAAGGAGGAGCAGGCGGACTATGAGCCCAATTATGAAGATGGTACGCTCACTCACTGAGCCCAAACTACGCTCAAGTTAACGAAATAGAACTCGAGGCCCGCTTCCTTCAAGCCGAGCCCGTCACTGGCAAATGCTACGTCCTAACCTTCTCCGCGGCCCATAACCTCACCCTGGCCGACCTTTCACCCCGCGAGATCGTCCCCGTGATCAATGCCTGGACAGAGATTTACACGGCTCACCTCTCGCCCACCTCACCCCTCGCTCAGAACGCCTCCTCAACTACCATCCAGCCAATCTCCCACGAGACTAGCCCCGCGAAGCCCAACGAGCAATATCGGTACATGCAGATCTTCGAGAACAAGGGCTCTGCAATGGGCTGCTCAAACCCTCACCCGCATGGCCAAGTCTGGACCACCAGCACGATGCCCGAAGAGCCCGCGGCCGAGATGACCCAGATGCTTAAGTACCGTACCGCGCACAGCACCCACCTCCTCGAGGACTACGCCAAGCTTGAAAGCCGCAAGCAGGAGCGCGTCGTGTTCGAGAATGAGGCGTTCGTCGTTGTTTGCCCGTGGTGGGCCACATGGCCGTTTGAGGTCATGATCATCAGCCGCACCCATAAGCGTGCATTGGTCGATCTGTCGGATGCGGACCGTATGTTGCTGGCCGAGGCTATTTCTGACATCACCCGCCGATATGATAACCTTTTCGAGACACATTTCCCCTACAGCATGGGAATTCACCAGGCGCCACTTGATGGCACCAAGGAGGAGGTTGAGGCTTCCTACCTGCACCTCCACTTCTACCCACCATTGCTGCGTAGTGCCACCGTGCGCAAGTTCCTGGTCGGCTATGAGTTGCTGGGTGAACCTCAGCGCGATATCACGCCTGAGCAGGCCGCGGCTAAGCTGCGCGATTGCGGCGGTGAGCTGTACCGCAAGAAGCTTGAAAGTTAGATAGCAGGTGTATGAAACAGGAGCCAGTGAAAGAAAGGAAAGGTGGTGTGGTGTTGGTGGGTGGTGAATATTCATATACATATTATTTTCAAAGCACGTATGCGTCGAGCCATGATTGTAGTTCAATACCAATTCCCCCAGCCTCCATCATAGTACATGTAACCCTCACTCCCACCATTTCCCATTTCCTCTCCAATACAATTACAAAGCATTTAAGCAAGGTAGGCCTCACGCTGCGTCAACATCCAAGCAAGCGACGACGAAGCCACGATCAAGGGACTGATGAAACGGCCCTTGAGAGTGGCATTTCCAAACACCAGCTCGCCAACAAAGTGCGTCAGGGCAATTCCGTAAGTCCACAAGGCGAGATCGTACGCGACAGGGTTGGTGATGTTGTAAGCAGCGGTCATGCGAATAACAGCGGAAAGGAAAGTCCAAGTTCCAAAGACGCGGCCGGAGAGCGGACTCGCAGGTACCTGGCCATTACTGTAGAGTTGAGAGGTATAGGCCGGGGAGATGTAGGCTTGGAGGCTGTTCAGGGCGGAGACCACGGAGACCTACAATGTGTTAGATCGGAGTTGACTTGGATTGGGAATTGGGTGAGCATACGAAGACCAGCCATTTGGGCAGGACGCCCTCGAATTGGGGGAGGTAAGCCAGGAATTGAGACATGTTGGATATGTGGCGAAGGGAGTGAAGTGTTGTGATTGTGGAAGACCGAGGATGTTTGGATTCTTGGCGTTGATCTTCCCCCAACAAGCTGCGCTTCTCAACTTTTTTGTTTTCTTTCTTGCCAACTCCGTTCCATTCGCGTTTTTGTTCATTTTTTATTATGGATCTCTCGAAGTATACTGAGTGTCTCTCGCAATGGCCTGCCCATGTTGCCCCGGGCTTGCCTACTTTCGGTGCCCTGTTCCTCCTGGCGACTGGTGGGCTGGTCATTGCCTGCAAGGTGTGGACGTTCGTGCGGGTGCTTCTCAGCCTGTTTGTGCTTCCAGGCAAGCCGGTATGGAATCATGATCTCCTATCCCGCTCCCATATAATGAAACTGACAGGAATTGAATAGCTTCGCTCATTCGGTCCCCCCGGTAGCTGGGCCGTGGTGACAGGAGCCTCAGATGGCCTAGGCAAGGAATTCGCATTGCAGCTCGCCAAATCGAAATTCAACATCGTTCTCGTGTCGCGCACAGCCTCGAAGCTGACAGCCCTGTCGGAGGATATTACCAAGCAATACCCCAACGTGCAAACCAAGACCCTGGCCATGGATTTCTCGCAAAACGCCGACGCCGACTACGAAGCCCTGAAGGGCCTCGTCTCCGACCTGGACGTGTCCATTCTTGTCAACAACGTCGGCCTGAGTCACTCTATCCCCGTTCCCTTCGCGCAGACCCCGGCCGCCGAAATGGCCGATATCGTGACGATCAACTGTACCGGTACCCTCCGCGTCACCCAGCTCGTTGTGCCGGGCATGATGCAGCGTCGCCGCGGTCTCATCCTGACTATGGGTTCTTTCGGTGGTCTCCTCCCCACTCCCTTCCTGGCTACCTACTCCGGTAGCAAGGCTTTCCTTCAGCACTGGTCTACTGCCCTGGGCGCCGAGCTGGCCCCCTACGGTATTGATGTCGAGCTTGTGCAGGCTTATCTGATTACCTCTGCTATGTCGAAGATCCGTCGTGCCTCTGCTTCTATCCCTACCCCGCGCGCTTTTGTTCGTTCCGTTCTGGGGAAGATCGGTCGCAGTGGTGGCTCGCCTTCTTATGCTTATAGCTCGTCGCCTTACTGGAGTCATGGTATCATGGCTTGGTTTTTGACTTCTGTTGCTGGTGTTATGGGCAAGACTGTTCTCTCCCAGAATAAGTCTATGCATGAGAGTATTCGTAAGCGTGCTCTCCGTAAGGCTGAGCGGGAGGCTGCTAAGAAGAGCACTTAATTTGTGTTTGAGAGGCTGTGGAGTAAACGATACTAGGAGTTATACTTTTCGAAATCGGTGTTGTCTATATAAACTGAATGTGAAACGTATTATTCGATTCTGTTATATTTAAAAGTTTTGTCTCAAGAAACAACACCTAAAATGTTAGAAGATCACTTGATTGGAACGAGCTACATCATACATGCTGTATAATTGTGCTTTGTAATGACATCGGTCATTCGGCCTCCGAGTCCACGCTGAAGTCGACATAACATATCTCTAAACGAAGGAATTAGTCCTCCGATTAGAAATCCTACTTGTGGGGGTCCAAGCTATATAGATAGATATCGGCCATCCCTACATTCAAAGGTTAGCTATCACTATATTCTAATCACTCATCTCACTCGTACATCTCAAGCCATGGCCACTACTCCAATCCTCCTCCTTCTCGGCGCAGGTTCCAATATCGGACACCATGTGGCTCGCTCCTTTGCCGAAAAGGGCTACAAGGTCGCTCTTGTAGCCAGATCACTAAAAGAAGAAGATAGCACTGAAGATCAAATCAATATCCCAGCCGATCTATCAGACCCAGCCTCCGTGGCCGAAGTCTTTTCGAAAGTCAGGGCACGACTTGGTCATCCAAGTGTTGTCGTCTACAATGGTAGACAAATCAAGCCTCTCAAGTTCCCATGTGTATACAAACTAACGGTTCCTAGCTGCCGCCCTAACACTCAACAACGCAATGAGCCCCCTCTCGCTCTTACTGGCCGACTTCATCCGCGACACGAACATAAACACAACTAGCGCATTCGCCGCCGCCCAACAAGCAGTCCTAAGCTTCGACCAACTCCCGGAATCAGCATCTAGAACATTCATCTACACAGGCAACATCCTAAACACCACAACCATACCCCCACTCCTCGATCTAGGTGTTGGAAAGTCAGCAACAGCACATATAATCCAATCCGCCGCTTCTGCTTATGCAGACCGGGGATACAAGTAAGACACTTCCCTGGTCCAGATTCCAACCCTGACCTTGGCCCCCATAAGCCAGACTAAAGTCAAATCTAAACCCAAATTTCAACTTAAAACAGGGCTGACTTGATTAGGTTTTACTATGCTGATGAACGCAAGGCTGATGGGTCCCCTACTTACAGTGGGCTCAGTGGGGAGGCCCATGGTAAGCTCTATGTTTCGCTTGCTGAGGGGTTGTCGCAGGGTCCTTGGCAGCAGACTTTTGTTAAGGATGTTGGGTATAGGCAGTTCTAGGCTTGACTATAGGGCTACGTGTACGTGTTGCTGTTGACGTATGAGACGGGCAGTTCGTGTTTATTGGCTATTGTTAATGTGTCTGCCTTGAGTGCTTGGTTCTTGTTCGTTCGCTTCCTTGCTGTAGCTTTACGTGTACGTAACGAGGTACGGCTGCTGGATTTTAAGATATTAAGTCGTTTTCAGAGGATGGAGGAAATAGAGATTTGACAGCATCGTTTCCTATAAGTGGAGAGTGGGATTTTAGTGCCGGAGTCTAGACCATTTCAATCACACTAGAACAATCTCAAACCTTGTCGCCAAGCATTCAAGGACCTTTGTCCTATTGTGTACAAAGGACCAATTTGCCTCGAGAAAACAAACGGTGAAGATCGACCCACCACGGAGAACCAAGTGGGGGAAGATGATGCCATAGTTGTGTTAGTTTCAGGACATGAAACGCGGGCGTTAGGGATAAATTGGGGGCCTTGATTTTAAGCAAATTTAAGGACTCATTTAGTGAACGTCAAAGTAGCTATAGAACACTGAAGGGAAGCATAAATACCACGTTTTTTTGAATCTATTCATAGTTCGCACGCAAAGGAACCCCGGACACATCACAAATGCAATCTGTAAGGGCAACAAAACCGGAACCCTCCATGTTTTGCCAGTGTGTTGAAGTACATGTGCGGAGGCCCTTGCTCGGGGCGATCTTACTAGTTGCAGGGTCTGAACGTGGTCGGGCACTGGGTATAGCCCCCGCCCTGTTCTACTCCATTCTCACATCTCATCTCGAGTTCTTATTTTCCGGTTATCCCGTCCATGAAATTTTCTGAGGGCTTCTTTGCTGTAAGCTTCTCTGTCATGCCTTCATCTGGCACTCTCGTTCATTCCCTTGGTCATAATTGGTTGGGTAAGGCCGATATCGCTGTTCAGACGATTTTTCTGGCTGTTGGTCTTGTCGCTGTTGGCTTGCGGTTATGGTCGCGGCGATTACAATTGAGTTCGCTGCAATTGAATGACTGGTTCATTGTACTTGCGACGGTAAGCATAACGTTATTTGCTTTAGTTTATTCTTTCTACCCGGAGAAACTTATTTGGCGCTACTGTTTTCCCCACTCTATTTCGACAAGGCTGACTGGGAATAATCTTTAGTTCGCAGTGGTCGGTCTCTATGTGGTAGAAATCACCAAAGTTCTACTGACTGGGTTGGGACTGCACTCTTCAGAAGTAGCCCGGGTCGGAGGGGAGGATATCTTTGTCCAATTCAGCGAGGTAGACTACATGAAGCCCAATTTATATGTAATCCCCGTTCCAATGCTGACCATATCTCAGCTCACATATTCCGGTGATCTTCTTTGGATCATAGCAGTCACCTTGATCCAGTTGTCAATTCTCCACTACTATGTCCGCGAATTTGGCCAGCGACTTGTTGTCTGGTCAGCCTATGCTCTCATGGGCCTATGTACAGCCCTCGGGCTTGCAGGTGTATTTGCAACAGCATTCTTCTGCACTCCGCCTAAAAAGTTATGGCTTTCGGATACACCGGGGCATTGTGGCGATCGTGACAAGCTGCAAACCAGTATCAATGCGAGTGAGGTTATCTTAAGCTTCTTCGTATTGGCCCTTCCAATTTCTTTTGCGTGGAGAAGGGCATTTTCACGGGCCAGGAGAGCTGCACTCGTGTGTATCATTGCACTCGGATTAGGGTGAGTACCTTTTCTTTTTGCAATAAACGGATGCGCGTTATAGATCTAGATACTAACGAGCATCATAGCATCGTCGCACTCATTGCCTCCCGCATGAAATATGATTCCAAGCTCATGCCATCAGATGCCACCTATGGCTCCACTCGGAAATCACTCCTCTCGTGTTTGGTACCCATCTTGGGTATTACAGTTGCCTGTCTCCCAACTCTACCACCAGTCATCCAAAGGATCTTTGGAACATCAGTATTCTCATCTATATCACGCATGTCTGGCCTAGGTCCAGAAGCTGCGAAGCACTGGAAAACAACGGTGCTTACTGGCAGGCGTTTGGAGGAGCCTGAGATGCCTTTGGTTACTGTTACTCAGCCTATGATGGCGAAGATGGGCCATCTTACTCCGGGTCATATCCATATTACTTCTGACTGGGAGATTCATTCGTCGCGGGGTTCGACGAGAATTGAGAGATCGCCTGTTCGGCAGGTCTGATGGGGTTCTCTCGGGTTGGGGATTTAGTCTGTATTTAGAATATAGCGATTTTAGCTTGCTGCCGATTTATAGCTCAACGCTGTCCTACAATGCCGTAATATTTCCTTAGAGCAGTGTCTTTTCTCGATATGTTTGATATCTAACAGCAATGTTCCATTTTAATGATCGAGCTCACGCATTTCCCGATATCTTCCACAGATTTAGGTCTCATCGCCATCTTAAGCGATGGGTGTGTCAACCTCGGCCATAAACGCGTGGCTTCTCTTGTCTATTCTACGGACCCTCCATGGGTGATTGTCGGTTTTTATCACTATATTGTTCGAGAGAGGAGATGAATAAGCAGATATATATGTATCACTACTGGCAAACCTAACAAGATAATCAACCCCGCTTAAGTATTTTATGTTAACGTAACAATCTGTTTGACCTTATACTTCTCTATTCCTTCTATATATCTCAGATATTCTGGAAGGTATCATGATAAATGGCTGTATGGCCCTGTTATGGCAAAATTAGTTGCTTTCCTTTATGTATCACCGGCCGCGTATTCCTTACATAACAATCCATCGTGGTTGGCCAATTGGCCTAGTGGTAAGGCATCCGTTTCCGGTGCGGGAGATCGTAGGTTCGAATCCTGCATTGGTCGTCTATTTTTGTTCTTTTTGCCTACATCTGAGGTGGGGCATGTTTTATTTGAAAGCCGTGGACAAATAAGGATCGATAATAGTCCAGTCACTTTTTGGTAAATCGTGCAGACGTAACACGAATGCTTCATTCAATTATGTGCTAGATAACCAAGTCCTATCTAAATACTAGAACAACATCACACACCTTCAACATTGATACAAATACAAAGTTTGGGTTAGTAGCAAGTACCTGCTTCAATGTGGTCGCACAGGTTGAGAAATGCACAGGGTTACTACGTATTGTGCAGTTCTTAGGAATAACTAACAAATGTGGATATATAGATGCCGTTTTAGTGACGTTACAAGTCTGCGCCTTATACACATAAAAAGGTATTTATAGAGAGACCCTGGGTGTCAGATTACCTGAAGCATGCATAGAAATAAACTGGCACATAGAACCTACCAAAAAAGGTCAATTGAGGAATAGACCTTCGCTAACCTACACCACTGTTTCTTGACCTGTTGACTATTCGGCAAATAGAGGATAAAGAGTTGTTGGAACCGAGAGGAATTTTCTACAAGTTCTTCTGCCACAGATTTCATACCTAAGCTAAGCCCGATAACACCCTTTGTCATGCCGTTGTTCTTAATCCAACCAGGTTCTTGCTGCCTTTCAACGGCGTGCATGCGCCTCGGGCATTGAATGCATCGATTCGTTGCATGTTTTCGCATTTCAATGATAGTCTCAGGACGGGTTTTGCGGGGTTTCGAGTGTCTGTTGGCACAAGGTCCCGGGGCTCGGATGCAAGTGCGTTCAATGTTTTACTTGTTAAGACGGGTGTGATGCGTACGTGAGACTTGACCAAGTCATAGGCTTCAGTGACAGTCATCTGAGCTAGGGGAAACAAGCGGAAGTTGCGCCATTTTTGAAGTCCTGGTAGTGTAGTTAATATGTGTGATTTGCGTAGATTTGATGGCACGGATATTTATGTATCTTGATAGTCCTACTACAGTGGAACGAACAAAAGAGCGCAGAGGCATGATTGTATTAGACAAAGCCCTCTAGAGCGACATAGGATTTAGTACTAAATTCTGATTCTTAAGATGTTGGCGCGATAAGTGCAGTTGTTGCATGCCATTGCCGTTGGGGCAAAAATAGTGTATATAATTTGCCAGGCGCATGGTCAAGTATGGATAACCCCAACTAGGTTGCGGGGGACGATATGAGTGGAAAGTTCAGGAAAGAATCATTTGAAGAAAAAGAAAAGGATCAAACACGAATGAATGAATGGTGCAAGCAAAATGAAAAAGAAAAGATCGACGACCAATGCAGGATTCGAACCTACGATCTCCCGCACCGGAAACGGATGCCTTACCACTAGGCCAATTGGCCGATCTTGATGAGTTGAGGACTCAAAGTGCATAGAGAAGGAAAATTCTAGTTAGTATATGAAAACAGTATGATAAGTTTGCCAGTACGATGGTCATTTTGATCATTGAGATTCTTCATTAAAATCAGTCGATTACCTAATATTTGGAACGGGCGCCACGACAGGCAGACAGCTACTTCAAGCTTCGGTGTCGTACCGCAATCCCACGGAATCCTGTGCTGGGGGGTGAAGGAGAAAGCCCTAAGTCGGGGAGCCATCCCTACATATAACTTCCCGTTAGCTAAAGCATACTTGCAATCCACGAGTGTTTCAATGGCCTTAGAAGGATCAGAGCATGACCAACACACCATCCAAGGAGCATGCAAGACTATTCAAATTACAAGGTCTCGTCAGCGGCGCAGGTCCAAAGCCCTGCAGGATCTTTCACGGGTCAGGGCAGCCCCTTGCATAGAAGGGAGGCGCAACGATGATCGACGGGAAAATCTGTCGGGATTAAGCATCGGAGCATTCCCGCCACAGGAGGGAACAAACATTAATCACCCATTCAGAGACACGAGACAAGCACCCAGCATTCCCCGTCAGGGGTGTTGATGCCGCCGCACGGGCAGCTGAGGGGCAGCACTGGACGACACCCCTTCATCCCAGTTATGGCAGAATGTCACCAAGGCGATGAGTAGTATAAAGAATAAAGGAACCCTGGAATCTCCCGGGTGGCTTGCATTCCGTACGACTTTCGTTAACACCCTTTCTATTTTTCGCAGTTTTCGACCACATAACTTTTTGTCGCTTGTCGGCATTTACTTTCTTTCAGCGCTGCGTGAGTCTCTACGATAATATAGGACTAGGCCGACATCATGGTCAAGACTACTTACGCCCTTACGCTCTTTGCTGCTGTCAGCATTGCTGCGCCTGTTGCTCAGCCTGATGGTAGCGGTAACCTCCTTGGTGCTGGTGCTGATGGTGCACTCAACAAGCTTGTTTCTAAGCTCACTGGTCGTTCTGAGAAGGAAGGCTCGTCGGACAAGCACAAGAACCTCATTGAGGATATTCCCATTCTGGGACCTATGCTTGGAGCGGTAAGTGATTCATGTGCTGTATCAGAATATGCACGAGAGGAATATATGCTCATGGGATCGAACAATAGAAGCATGATACTAAGCGTGGTCACTCAGAGTATGAGTCTACTCACCACAACTTGATCGATGAAATCCCAATCATCGGCCAGTTGTTCGGTAATGTAAGTATATTGCCCTTGTTGAAAATGATAAATTGCAACCAAAGATGCTAATGCAATGTCGCAAACAGGACAAGTCTAACGTGGACAAGGGCAAGGAGCGTCGTGACCTGAGCGATGGTCTCAATGGTATCCCCCTCCTTGGTGGCTTGTTCGGCAAGGTTGGTGTTTATATCAGCAGTCCAAGTTTATAAAGACATGAAGTACTGATAAAGCAATAGCACGAGCACACTGGCGGATACAACGGCCTGAACGCTCACCAGAATAAGGGCCGAAACGCTGGTCAGAATGATGATCAGAACGCTGGACAGAACGCTGGTCAGAATGAGGGCCAGAACTCTGGACAGAATGCTGGACAGAACGAGGGACAGAACGAGGGACAGAACTCTGGACAGAACGAGGGACAGAACGAGGGACAGAATGAGGGCCAGAACGAGGGCCAGAATGAGGGCCAGAACGAGGGCCAGAACTCTGGACAGAACTACGCCCAGAACGCTGGACAGAACGGCGGCCAGAACTCCAAGCGAGACTTCGGTGGCCTCAGCAACCTCCCGATCGTTGGAGATCTCCTCAGCAGCGTATGTGGACATCCCAACGCTTCACATCCAAACCTGATATTGACACAAGACACAGGAAAAGCCCGGTCATAAGGAGACCGACGAGCCCGCTAAGCATCTCGACACCCGTCAGGTCGGAGGAAACGCCAAGGGCATCTTCGGCATTCTGCAGTCCCTGACTAGCGGCAATGTAAATCCACATATCCAGCTTTCACCGTTCAAATACTGACATAAACCAGCCCATTCACAAGAGCCACGCAAAGCGCGAGGAGGATGAATTCTCCCAGCTTGACCCCTTCAGCGACGTCGTTGACGGCGCCGTTGCCTCGGGTATGGAAGCTGAGGGCGCTGCTATGCCTGTAAGACTACCATGTCGCCCACAAAGCCAGCCATCCCCAAACCAGTGTATATACTAACCCATAAAAGGTCCGCCGTGACGAGTCCGCCACTCCAACCCAGCAGACTGAAACCTCAACATCCACGCCCACCGAAACAGCCAAGAGCAAGAGTTTCCTCAGCGAGCTGATGGGCAAGCACGGTCTCGGCTCGATCATGGGCCACGCCCACCACGGCGTCGGCCTGTTCCCCGTAAGTACTAAAATCCAGTTCACACCATCTATCAGACCTCAGACAAACGAATAACCCACTAACATCTCCACAGATGCGCCGTGACACCGACGAGATTGATGCCCGTGGCGCCGCACCCCCTATCCAAGGCTCTACCCTGACCGATGTGCTCATGCAAGGCGGTGCCCTCGGAAAACTCACCAAGATGCTGTCCCCTGCTACTCCCCCAAAGGGTCCCCATGGCGATCCTAACACTGTTGGTGATGGAACTAGCAACGGTCCTCCTGACCCTGCTTCTGGTGCTGGTCCTCACAGAGGTCCTGGTGTTGCTGGTGAGCGTGGTGATCATGCCGCTGCGGCTTCTGTTGCTGGTGGTGCTGCTCATCCTCAGTAAATTGCTGATGTGAGGTGATGGGGATGGGGATATGCTCTTTTCTTCTCGTGTCATTTCTGCTAGATGATGTGGATTTGATGTGATTTTGTCGTAGATCCGGATTGCAAATGGATACAGAATGGCTTATGTTATTGGGTTGTTATTTATTTCTTGTTTTCGGACAATTTCAAATGCCTTTATGATTACAGTCAAATTTAGACGTTCAATTTTCCGAGTAAATGGTAGTTGTTCTCGTTATAGTAACAAAAGCTTTGATGAGCATCAGACATAAAAAACGTGTAGGGGGGATTCCCTGCTTTGTGGACGTAGCCAGACAAAGAGCCTAGGCTCATATAAAAAAAAAACACCGAGATCGTGAGTCGTAGCATCAATTAAAAACCGCCTTTTGAGGCGCAGACTACCCAGGTAAAGAGCGTCGTTGGGGTATCAGATCGTTATGTGCGAGAAAATCAAATCCAAACAAACATTGTCGGGACATATCATGCGACTCCAACAAATTCAGGCAAATATGCTTAGTCGTAGTCGGAGAAATCCATGTCCACGTCATTTACTTCAACTGTCGTTCCGAGCGCCGCTTTACCCTCCCGGATCATATCTTGCAGCTGCTTGTTCAAGCGTTGGATGCTGGCATCCTCTTCCCGCTCCTTGCGGCGCATCTTGGCCGCATGTCTCTGCGCCTCCGCAGATGCAGGAGCGTCCCTTGTTCGGGGTGAGGGAAGACCCTGGTTCTTGGTTGGGCTTTTGGGCCGTGGTGAGGTGTAGGCTACCTTCTTGAGTCGGGGCATGACGGCTGGTCGACGCCTGGGACTGGAAGCTTGAAACATTCGACGAGTGCGCAGTGACGGACTGGTCATCTCGCTGGTGCCCACGAAAGAATTGTGGGTCTCGGGTGGAACAACGACCCAGCTGCGGTCGAGGTCGTCGTCGGGATATTGGCCCGGGACGGGGGTTGCGTGGAATAGGTTGGAGTGGAAGGGGTCTTTGTCGGTGGATGGGCTGGTTGATGGCCCAGCTGTCATGTCATATCCCTGACCACCACCCGCATAGAATCCTCGGAATGCTCCAGACCAGCAGAGGTCGAGGACTTTGCCAACTGCTTTGATCACAGTCCGGCCCCAGCCTGTTGGTGTTGTCGAGGGCGAGTCTGGGCCGTCAGCGCTTGGGGATGCGATCCCCGAGTCACGACGACTGCGCTTGCGACTGGTGCCGCTGGACTCGGGGTTTATTGACTCGGTGCTTGCATCGAGAGAGGGTGGGAGGAAGGATTCGCGGTATCGGTTTGGACGGTAGTCCAGCTCTGCAGAGGTGTGGAAGTCGTTTCCTCCGCTGAATGCTCGATAATCGGACTGGATCAGCGGAGACTCGAACTCGGATGGAGATTCGAAATGCGATGCAAGTTTCTCTGTGTTACGGCGTGGGCGCTTGCGACTGACTGAGAGGGAATAGAGTGATGAGGATGCGGAGGCGGCTGGCACCTGGAAGTATTGAGAGGGCGCATTTGACAAGTCCAGTTTCGCTGGAACATGATTGAAGACGTGCATATCGGGCATGTTGAGAAGAAAGAGAAAGTCGGAGAGAAAATAAAGGCGAAAAGAAGAGAAAAAATAAGAGGTTGGGGATCTGAAGGGCAGGTTTGCGGCCAATCGGACAATAATCTATACCTGTCCACCTGCGTGGAATACTTCTTTGCTTCTCTTTCTTTCTCTTTCTCTTTCACTTTCTTTTTCGTATGCTTTTACTCCTTTATTTGTTTATACAGGGTATTGAAAACACTAAGGAACTCAAGTAGCTTTCATCATGGCCGCAATCTGCCCCTGTATACTCCGATCTCTTTGTTGAGACATCCTCTCTTATTGATCCCCCCTACATAAACTATCACTTTGAAATTACAATCGCTGGCCTGTCCACTGCACACCCGCAGCCTCGAGTCCCTCATCGCCATCAACAAGGACACACCATCCCTCGCCGCCCGCTCCCCCGTCACCAGCAATAACCGCTTCAAAGTGACCGCGAGCGTAATCTAGCACCGAGTCGTCAAAGGTACCAGGCTGCAACCACACCGCAGGGATCCCCACCGAGTGAGCTTCCTGCAGTACCTTCAGCGTTACAGGTGGTGGAGTTACCACGGAGAGGGAGGTCTGCAGCGGCGAGGGCAGCTTGGACGGTGAGGGGACCGTATCGTAGGCACGCGAGGGGAGGGTGATCTGCGCTGCTCGGGGATTGAGCGGTGTCACCGGCAGGGAATGTTGATGGTACCAGGCGAGGACTGGAGGTGGTTAGTAGAGATCTAAACTGGTCTGGTAGTTGACGTTACTCTTGTATCCGAACTTATGTGCGTCATTGCTGGCGCCCGCCACTGCGAAGCGAGGGGAAGAGAAGAATCGCTTGACGTCGGCCATGTTGTGGAGAAAATCAAACAGTAGAGATTTAAAAAATTGTAAAAAAGAGTACGCTCAGGTAGATTCAGGTTCACAAGAGAAGAGGAAAATCAGCTCTCAGCGGAGCAAACAAAAAGGCCTCGGCAGCCGGCGATGACGGAATCTCCTTCGCTCATCTCCTAACTCCGACATTCGGCGACCACCACCATCATTTGAATACCTTCACACTTCGCATGCCACCGTTCGTCCCCCGCAAGCGCATCTCCTCCGAGGACCCGCCCCCGGCCAAGCGCCAGGCCCGGCCCGATGAAGCGCCGTTCCACCTGTCGGACTCCGATTCAGATTCCGACTCGTCTCTGAGCGACGCCCCGGACGGGCTTATCAAGGCTAAAGAGGAATCCGACGAGGATGACATTGATTGGGAGGATGCTATCGACACAAATACTACGAGCGCAACAACCCCCGCCACCGCAGCTCCGGAACTACGCGATTTGGAATTGACCTTTGATAAGAACGAGACACACCCGGCAGACTTACTGGATGGCAAGAAAGGGCCGAGTAAGATTGAGCGCCATATACGTGTCCAGACGCATTGCATGCATGTCCAGTGCTTGCTGTTCCACAATGCGATTCGCAATGCCTGGATCAACGATTCCAAGGTCCATGATATCCTACGCAAGAAGCTACCAGAAGGGATACACAAGGAAGTAAAGAAATGGCGCATTGCATCTGGGCTGGAACTTCCAGAGCCTAAACCTGAACCACCGAAGAGCAAGAAAAAGGGCAAAAAGGCCCAGAAGAACAAGGATTGGAGCGCAGACTCGGAGCGGCTGGAACCTGGTCAGCCGGATATGAGTCGGGGTGATCCGATAATCACGCTGATCAAGGTCCTGGTTGCGTACTGGAGGAAGCAGTTTCGTATTACTGCTCCAGGATTGCGCAAGTATGGATACCGGCCAGTCTCGGAGCTTGAAACTGTCATTTCTGACTTCCGCGAGGAGGAACATGTTCCGGAGCGCCATGGCGAGCGCATCGCTAATCTCGACGAGTTTCGCGCTACAGCTGAGCGCATGCAAGGCTCGCGGGATGTCGGTGCGCAGCTTTTCACGGCTCTTGTTCGGGCTTTAGATATTGAGGGCAGGCTTGTGGGTAGTCTCCAACCGCTGGGCTTTGGCTGGACCAAAAACGAGGTCTACACATCGCCCAAAGAGCCAGAGAAGAAAGGACCGGAGAAAGAAGAAGAGCCGGAATCGGAGCCCGACACAGGTGAAGCGGAAGATCAGACACCAGCCAATGACAAGACCAAACGCAAGCAATTTGACAAGGATTTGCCCTTCCCGGTCTATTGGACAGAGGTTGCGTCGCCCATAACGAACGCTATTATCTCGGTAGATCCACTGGTGCTATCAAACCCGGTGGCACCAACAGCCGACCTGCAAGCCTCATTTGAACCGCGAGGCGCAAAAGCCGAACGGGCGAAACAAGTGATATGCTACGTCGTCGCTCACTCAGCAGATGGCACGGCGAAAGAAGTCACCACACGATACCTCCGAAAGCGCACCTGGCCAAGCAAAACCAAGGGTTTCAGAATACCTCTAGAAAAGATCCCCCTACCTGGCCTGCGAGGTCAATACATCGCCTTCGACTGGTTCGGAATGGTAATGCGCGGCTACCAAAGACCACGAGAGAAACGAACAGCGGTAGACGAACTCGAAGACGAACGCGATCTCCAACGCAACCAACCAGAAAGGAAAAAAGCAGCTCCAACCCACGATACCCTCCAAAGCCTCCGCACCTCAACAGAATTTGTCCTGGAGCGCTTTCTCCGCCGCGAAGAAGCCCTCAAACCGGGCTCCGAACCAGTCCGCACATTCATCGCCGGCAAAGGTGCCCGCGCCAAAGAAGAACCAGTCTTCAGGCGCGCAGACGTGGTCAAATGCCTCTCCGCCGAAAGCTGGCACAAAGAAGGCCGCCAGACCCTCCCAGGAGCAGTACCCCTAAAGCGCGTCCCCATCCGGGCCGTGACCCTCCTCCGCAAACGCGAAGTCGACGAAATGCAGCGCGAAACAGGCGAGAAACCCCTCCAGGGACTGTACGCGCGCGATCAAACAGAGTACATCATCCCACCGCCCATTGAAGATGGGCATATTCCCAAGAACGATTATGGGAACATTGACTGTTTCGTGCCGAGTATGGTCCCGCGTGGTGCGGCGCATGTGCCGTTACCGGGGACCGTGCGGATCTGCAAGAAATTAGGAATTGATTATGCGGAGGCTGTTACAGGCTTTGAGTTTGGGTCGAAGATGGCTGTGCCTGTTATTCAGGGCGTTGTTATTGCCGAGGAGAATGAGGAGTTGCTTCGGGATGCGTGGAGGGCTGATGCTGCTGAGAAACGGAAGAGGGAGGAGCTTAAGGCTGAGAAGAGGATTTTGCAAACTTGGCGGAAGTTTTTGTTTGGGTTGAGGATTATGGAGAGGGTTCGGGAGGAGTATGGGGGTGGGGATCCTGAGGCTGGGAGGGAGAGGGATGCACATAATCCTTTTGTTTTGAAGAAAAGGAAGAAGGAGGATGAGGAGGAGAATGAGGAAGAAGGAGAGGAGGGTGATCATCATGATCAGGAGTCTGAGCATGATCCGATGGATTATGGTGGTGGCTTTCTTCTTCCTGGCGAAGACGATGCTGACGATGGGTTGATTGTGGAACATCATGAGCAGCAGACACGAGCTGATCCATCTCAGACTCATGTTGACTTTGATAGTGATCGTGCGTCGGAACGATCTTCACCACCCATTTCTATTCCTTCAGCTTCAGATAACGAGGAGCATGATGACAACGACGACAGCGGCGAAGATGCAGCGTCCGAATACACACCTCGTCCCACGCGACGAACTGTGCGACGTTGACTGTGGAGAAGGCTATCTCTCATGACTATCTTGTATTTTTATCACAATCATGTATGCACGAATGAGGACGGGACAGGCGTTTATATGTTAGGGTTAGACAGAATTGTCCAGAGTATCAGACATAGGCACTAAAAATCTACTTTTGTGCTATTCTATCCATTAAATACATCGAGTTCAGATCTATATCCAATCCCGAAAGAAGTCATTCATCATACTACACGAAACCCAACCTCAACCCCTCGACCGCACAGCAGCCAAAGGCGAATCGATAGCCCCCCACTCCGCAACATCATCATAGTCGTCATCCTCATCATCTAGAACAAAGCTCTCGTCCTCAAAAGAGGGGCTGACATGAACCGCCGGTGAAGAGATAGGACTAAGCGCTACGCGCGGCCGTGACTTGAACACACTAGCGTACTCGGCATCCTCCTCAAAGAGCTGATCCTGTGGTGTGGAAGCGCGGGAACGCTCGTCTATTGAGCGAGTCGAGTGCGCAGAGGGTTTTCGCGGAGTCACGAATTGGTTGACTGGGTAGGAGGGGCGAGGTCCGCGACGCTGGCGTGGCCGAACTTGTGGTTCGTGTCCTGGTGGGAGGAGAGACATTGATTTGCGCGTGCGTTCGACTAAAGTGTGGGAGCGTTTGATTGGCTCCGGGTCTGGCTTGTGCTCTGGTGAAGAGGGGATGTCTGGGGAGAGGCGGACGGTTGGAGTCGGTTGAATTGATTCTGATTCGGGTTTTGGTTCAGGCTCTGGAGGTGTGTATGATGCTTCCGAGGCAGCCAGGTCTGCTGGGTGACCAACAGGGTAGTTGTCTGCCATTATTGGCGATTCTGTAACATCCAACGAAGCTTCCAATCGGCGTTCGTAACTCGGTTCTACCTCGAACGTAGGATCCTCACGATTGGAACGGGATTTGCCGTTGATGCGAGCGAGGGCTTCATTTACAGATGAAAGCAGTGATTGATCTGCTCCTTTCAGCGTCCGCTCCCTATCCCCTGGCTGGCGTACAGATTTGGATATACTGGCAACGGTGAGAGACTGGTGGTCTCGGAACAGTAGCCGATTCTCATTGGGAGAGGTTTTACTCGCTGCGTTGATATCGGTGCCTCTTTCTCTTGAAAGAGAGTTGTTGTATTCGTGCCACTTGCACAGTCGACTTCGTTGCAGTAATACCCGTGAGGTCAGATCAACAACCAGGTCATGTTTCAAATCACTCCCGAGGCCATTCACAGCTGGATCAGTTGCCCGCGACAAGGCCTCTGGGAAAGGAAGCTCCAGGAAAACATCGGAGCTGCTTTGTGATCCGCCTTTAAGCAGAGCAGTGGCCCATTCCTCGCTGCCAAGCCAATTTGCTTGAAGTTCGCGCGCCAGACTTTCAGGGTCACTTTGCACATTCCATTTACTCTGCTGTTCTTTATTGGCGCGTTCAGCCAGCTCAATCTTTTTGTTGTCCAGTAGCTCCGAGAACCGATCATAAGCACCTTGAACCCGAGCACGCCGTGCTTCCCCGGCACCCAAAGAAACCTGATGGGCAAGAATGAGCGGTAGCAAATTCTGATAATTGTTTGGTGTCATTGCCGTAGCGGTCGACAATTTCATGGCGGAGCTCCAGGCCTTCTCGTCTGCGGAGGCGGCGACACATTTGCGGAGTACGGTCGTAGAGAAGCCAGCGAGCAGCTCGTCGAATTTCTCACCTTTGCAGTCATCTAACATAGATTTGCGCAGGATTATCTCTCGTCCAAGATCGCCATTTTTCTTCAATTCACCCAAGCACCGGAATAAGGCCGCGCGGAGGTTGACAGACTGTAGGGGTTCTAGCGGAGGAAAGAAGGGACGCAGTTTCTGTATCATATATCAGCAGGGTTCACAGGCTGATATCTGGTATGTGTACATTTTGGGTCCCTTCTGAATCCCAGATAGCGAAGAGGTAGTATAAAGCCCATTCTATCAAGCGGATCCGTTGCCGTTGGTTCTGCGATGACGCCGACAGCGAGCGGATGGAAATACCGGGCCAGTCCTCGCGTTGGTCCAATTGTAACAACTTCAAATTGCGAATAAAGACATCTTGATGCGACGGACCCAGCCAGTCCAGGGGTTTTGGCCTGTTCAGCCTTGTTGCAGCCATTGATGAATCGGGGATGTTTGAGGGACGAGAGTAAACACAGATAAGGGGAGTTTGCATCTGTTTGCACTGCCTATCAGTCCCGCATTCATCGTCTTCTTTTCTTGCTTTCTTTCTTTCTCTGTCAGTCACTCTTTCATTTTCTTTCATTTCGCATAGTCATGGGCTCCGATAACTCTTCCTGGACTCCCCAGTCCGGTGAGTCTTGGAGTTTCCCCTTTGTGATCCTTCAAAGTTGACCTTCTGTTGCAGTCCTATCTACCCTCCCCCACCCGCTGGAGGAGAACTCGACATCCCCCGTTCCCTTCTTCCACCTGGTCGAGCGCCTCAAGACCACCAAGCGCGAAGGCTGGCGTCGCTTTGGCATCAATGGCGAATCTATCTCCGACCACATGTACCGCATGTCGATCATGACGATGTTGGCACCGCCTTCCCTGTCAGCTAAACTCGACATTCCACGCTGCACCAAGATGGCCTTGATCCACGATATGGCAGAGGCGCTCGTCGGAGATATCACCCCGGTCGACTATCACATCACCAAGGCCGAGAAGGCTCGTCGCGAGGCCTCCGTCATGGAATACATCACTACGACTCTCCTTGGCAAGGTCCCTGGAGGCACATTGTCAGGCCAGGACATCAAGAGCGTGTTCGAGGAATACGAGGAGGATCAGACTCTCGAGGCCCACTTTGTCCACGATATCGACAAGATGGAGCTGCTCTTGCAGATGGTTGAGTATGAGCGCTCGAACGAGGTTGATCTTACCGAGTTCACTCATGTTGCCTCTCGCATTCGGTTGCCCGAGATTCAAGCTTGGGCTGCTGAGGTTATTCAGGAGAGACGGAAGCAAGAATAAGTCTGCATAGAGATTGAGATATTGGAGGATTAGGGAGTTGGAAGTCCCGCGGCTTATCATTTTGGTGACCCATGAGTTCTCTCGGCGTTTGTTTGTGTATCTTTATTTTTTTTCGGGTACCCTAGATACCATAGCAAACGAGCTACACGATTGCATCAGATGTTAAGAAGAATGACGAGCCTAGCTTCTGTCGGTTCGTAGTGAATATTCAATATTGTTATCAGCCTACTTGCCTGTGGCTGTATACATGCATCGCATTCAATATAATAGATCTAAACCTACCCTCAGAAGATCTGCAGGTCCAAATTCTGCTGCAGTGCGCTCTGTATTTATCTTCTTGATCAAACGCCCTCCTTAATAGCATTTAACAACAGCTCTGGTTTAATCTTTGTGCACAGCCCTCTGCTTCCATAGCGAAATATCCAAGAACATAATATTCGACATCATCCACGAAACCCTCAGAATTATCCGCGGGCATATGGTCCCCCTTCGCAATTTCCAAGATCTCCAAAATAGGAGCATCCATATCAATCCTATCGGAGTCAGCTGTCAAGCGGCATATTCACCTCACGCACGATATGGAGGAAGGGATTCCACGACTAGGTCGAGCACCTGCAGAACACCATCACTGTTTGAGTATTTCTTGTATTTATGAAACAATCAACCCGAACACTATTAAAGGGTAGAGGTCAGCTGAACCTCTCACGGCCAATTTCAAGGTCTGGTTCACTATGTTAAGTGGAGTAATCGTTCTTTCAGTTCTCTCTAGTTCATACACTTCATGGAAATAAAAGGTCTAAGTAAAAGTCCCTTGACTCTTGACCATGCATTCTGGAGAATATTGTGATATCTTAAAGTAATTCCTGTATCCGTAACGTAGTTCACCTAAATATTACTCTCGTATTAAAATTTGCTCTTAGCGTTATGCATACTTCTAGATCATACAACAAAGAGTATAGTGTGCTAGTGATAAAGTATAGCACAGTCTCTACACGGCCAATTTATAGACCTAATTCATATGTTGAGTGGAGTAATCGTTTTTGGCTCTCTCTAGTCCGTACATCTCATGGAAATAAAAGGTCTAGGTAAAAGTCCCTTAACTCCTGACCATGCATTCCGTGTCGGAAGACACTGAAAGACGCCATATACACTTCCCGTAAATCACACAAAAGCTATACAAAGTAAAACAACAGGTATATACGACAGGACCCAAAGGGAACCAAAACTAAGGTAATCAAGTAGCGCTTTACTCGTCATCTGTGTTCCGGCTTTCCTTCTCTGGCTTGGCCAGGGCCTTTTGCCAGACTGTGCGGGCGGCCTCTTGATCAAGACCGGGGAAGAGGATGTCAAACACCTCCGAGTACCAGTTTACTGGGTGGCCTTCGATACCCTCCTTGATGTTCTGGGGGAATGTGGTTAGCGTCAATCATTCCCAGATGGGGCAGTTCAGTGACTCACTTCAGGTAGCTCGAGCCAGTCGGATGTGTTGTCTGCTGGGAAGAGGATCTTTGTGGCACCGGCCCGACGAGCGGCCACAGTCTTTTCCCTCAACCCTCCAATACGGAGAACTTTACCGGTGACGGTCAATTCTCCGGTCATGGCAACGGTGGGCTCAAGAGAGTGGTTCAGAGCCAAAGACAGCAAGGCGCTTGCCATAGTGATACCAGCAGAGGGACCTGTTGATGGTGAGCAATCGAAGAACACAAAATGAGAGGTGAGAACAATTTACTTACCATCCTTAGGGACAGCTCCTTCGGGGCAGTGCAAGTGAACCTTGGCCTTCTCAAAGAACTGGTTCTCGGGGAATTTCCGAGCCATAACAGACTTGGCAAACGAGTATGCAATGTGTGTAGACTCTTTCATGACGTTTTGCAGGTTACCGGTGATTTCGAGTCCGGGTCGCGATTTGTGTGTCAACGCGTTCTCCAGGATGCATTCAACGTACAGGGCCGCTCCACCCATGCTGGTCCAGGCGAGACCCATGGTGACACCAGGGGGAACTTGTCGTATAGGCGATCGGCGGTGAAGACTGCCGGTCCGACATAGTCCTTCAATGTTCCCTTGCCGATACTGAGATGGACACTGTCGGGAACCTTAAGGGCATGCCGAGGGATCTCTGTGGTCGACTTCTCCGGCTCAAGGGGAGCCTGAGCAGGATCAGCCGGGTCGTGCTCCTTTGACTCCTCGGCAGCAGCCTTGCCCTCGTCGGTCAGGGCCGCCTCCTCTGACATGACATCCTCACCCAAATCTTGGACGATCTTGAATGCTGCCTTGCGGTAGACCTTTTCGATTTGCTTCTTCAAGTTGCGAACACCGCTTTCACGGCAGTATGACTTGATCAACTCCTCGATAGCTTCCTTCTCAAGGTTCACGTCGACATCCTTTAGACCTGTCAGCTCCCGAGCGGCGGGTGCCAAGTACTTCTCGGCAATCGCCATTTTCTCGTCCGCCACATATCCAGACAGTTCAATGAGTTCCATTCGGTCCAGCAATGGCCGAGGGATGGTGTCGGTAACGTTGGCAGTGCAGACGAAAAGAACCTTGGACAGGTCCACTGGGACATCCATATAGTGGTCCAAGAATGAATTGTTCTGTTCGGGGTCGAGGAGCTCAAGCAGAGCAGAGGATGGATCGCCCTGGTGGCCACGGCCAATTTTGTCCACCTCGTCGATGAGGATCAGAGGGTTCTCGGTTTGACATTTCTTCAGCGCTTGAATAATGCGTCCAGGCAAGGCACCCACGTAGGTCCGTCGGTGACCCTTGATCTCTGCGACATCTGTCAAACCACCCACAGAGAAGCGGTAGTATTGTCTGTTCAGAGCACGAGCCACTGACTTTCCGATACTAGTCTTTCCAACACCGGGAGGACCAACAAGGCAAAGGATCTTTCCTTCAACAGTTCCACGAAGCTTGCCAACAGCGATGAACTCAAGGATACGATCTTTCACATCCTTCAGACCGTAGTGATCCTCGTCCAGAACAGTTGTGGCGTTCTTAATTCCAAAGTTTTCCACGCTCTTCTGTCCCCAAGGGATCTGAGTGAGCCAGTCCAGGTAGTTACGGGTGACGTTGAACTCAGATGCGGCAGGCTCAAGGTGGGCCAGCTTGTTGATCTCCTCATCAAAGACCTTCTTGACAGCCTCGGGCATGGCAAGCTTCTCGGCCTTCTCCTTGAACTTCTCAACCAGCTTGTCTTTTCCGTCGGATTCGATTCCAAGCTCTCTCTTGATGCCCTTCATTTGTTCCATTAGCCAGTACTCGCGCTGGCGCTTCTGGATCTTGGCTTCGACATCCTTGGTGATCTTAGACTGTAGTTGAGCGTTCATCAATTCCTTCTTCAGGACAACAAGGGCCTTGGGAAGACGTTCCTCAATGTTCATTGTCTCGAGAACTTCCTGCATTTCATGCAGCTCACCAGCGGAAACGGCAGCGGCAAAGTCGGCCAATTTAGCCGGTTCATCGCTCAAGTTTCCGGGGAACTGATCAGTGTAGAACGCTGAAATCTGATCACGGAACAACGGATTCAAGGTGGCGATCTCCTTGCATACGTTGACAATTTCACTAGTCACCGCACGAATTATGCCGTTCTTCTTATCGAACGGCTCCTCAACCAAGTTTTCCACATTGACCAAGCTAACAGGGTGTTTCCGCAAGAAAGATGTGGGTTCGTAGAGGTCTTTGGGAGCTGGCTCAGGAGTTCCCTCCTCGAAGCTGGCCACGACATCGCCTCGCTTTTCGGTAGTCTTGTCTTCAGGTGTGGGTGGGGTACCCTTCGTAGTCTCGGTAGGAGGAAGTAAGGATGAGATTTTGATACGGCGATGAGGGTATAGAACTGCCGTCACACCGCTAGCCTCCCCGCGGAGAGGGTATGCGGCTGTGATTTGAGCGAAGACACCGGTGTCGTAAACATCATCCATCTTCTCAATCACATCGCCATCGGCGTTGTCATCCTTGAATAAGAATGCTCCGACATAGGGCTGACCCCGTTTCATCATGTCCTGAATCGCAGTGGCGACATTCGGGTCGCGGATGGTGATAGCTTTATAGAATCCGGGGAACAACGGGCGCTTCGCAATAGGAATTGCCATCACTTGGGGATAAACGTCCGGCACTGCTGGTTTTTGTAGAGCCTTTTCGCCAGATCCCTTCTTCCCCTTCTTGCCGCTGTCGTCGTTTCCGCTATTACCTCCACTGCTTGCGCCGCTGGGTTTCGACTCGGCTGAGCCATCACTCTGCGGGATAGGCGAAGGTGTATTATTCGAATCTCCTTTTCCATCTGATGCGCTGGCTTCTTTCTTTCCTTCCTCCTCTACCGCGCGTTGCTCTTTATCGGATGACCGGTCTTTTCTCCGAGTGGAGCCTGCCTGGTCTGCAGAAGAGACGTTCTTCCCTGAGTCAGATGCTTTCCGCCGTGGCTCCGGAGCCCGTTCTGTGCTTTTATCATCCTGGCTATTCTCCTGCTCTTCCGGTTCGTCCTTCGGGTCCTCTGGTGGGGGTTTCTCTCGCCGCCGAATGGAGCTTACAGAGAAAGCGCGGGAAGTCGAGGGGATGGAGTGACCGAGGCGGGCCGAAGCTAGTGCTGATCGGAACCTTGCATTGTATCTCGGAGAAGCAAGAAATGGGCGTCGGAGGAGAGGTCGAGGCGTTTGGTGGAGCGCAGCTCTCCAGGGGAGGGTCTGGCCGCGGAGCATGCTCCTGGATTATGCGATGAAGGGGCGGGCAGGAAAGTAGTTGAAAGAGTATAGAGAACTGTGAACAGCCCGTAGCACACAGCTCTTAAAGGAATGGGAAATAGAAAAGGTGGAGAGTGGAAGCTGGAATTCCGTAGTCGGAGCACCCCAATTGCTTCGGTAAGCAGCTCTTTCATCATCGTCCCGGCATCACGTTTTTCCGATAAACTTCTCTCTGCCGAAGAACTCGAAGCTTCTGTGAACAGGAGAGTAATGAGTTAGAGATCATTGGCTCGACTATTTTCCTTACTGTTACTGTCCTTCATTTTGAATTTCTTTTTATTCGCATCGTTTACCTCTGGTATAGCCAACCGCTGTCCGGCTATTACTATCCATGAATTCTTCTACGGCATTCCCCAAGGCCGCGGCTCTCCCCGCGCGTCTGTTGCGAACCCAGCGACAATGCTCGAACCAGACCTCCAATAGCAGTGTGCGATCTTCAACTCAAAGCAGATATTACCATGCTACTGCGTCCGCTTCCCCGGCTAGACGTCTGCGGGAGGGTGTCTGCAAAAGAAAGGATTCCTTGGTGATTTCCGCTCGGGTAAGTCGTCATAAGATTCTATACCGTCACAAGGTTCTATAAGAAATCATCGCTAACAATACCCATCTCTACAGACTTTCCACACTACTTCTCCCCTTTTGGCCGTTGCCGATCCCTACAAAGTCCTCGGCGTTGACAAAAAAGCATCTGCCGGCGATATCAAAAAGGCCTACTACGGCCTAGCCAAGAAATATCATCCGGATACCAACAAGGACCCTCAAGCGAAGGACAAGTTCTCTGAGGCTCAAACGGCCTACGAATTGTTGTCCGACGCCAAAAAGCGAGAGAACTATGACCGATTTGGCTCGGCAGCCTTTGATCAGAACGGCGGATTTGACCCAAGTGGCGGCAACCCATTCGCCGGCGCAGGAGGATTCCATGGCTTTGGTGGTGGTTTCGGTGGAGGTGGCTTTGGCGGAGGGTTCACCGGTGACATCAACTTCGAGGATCTATTTGGCGCGTTCACTGGAGGAGCGCGTCGTGGGCCGCGGGGCCGGGGCAACCCTTTCCAGGAACAGATCCTGGTTGGTGAAGATATTGAGGTCCAGACCAACATCTCGTTTATGGATGCCGCCAAGGGCACTTCCCAGGACATTGTTATCACGCCTTTGACTGAGTGTGGAACCTGTAAAGGTGACGGGTTGAAGGAAGGAACCAAGCGGTCCCAATGTCGGCAGTGCAACGGTACCGGTACCCGTGTCCATCTCATGCAGGGAGGCTTCCAGGTTGCGGCTACTTGCGATGCTTGTGGCGGCGCTGGTATGTCCGCCCCTCGTGGGTCTGAGTGCCGTTCCTGTAACGGAAACGGTGTTGTCAGGGAACGCAAGACCATCAAGGTCGACATCCCCGGGGGTGTTGAAGATGGCATGCGTCTGCGGGTGACTGGTGAAGGCGATAGACCCCCCACTGGATCGGCTGTTCCCTCTGGAGCCCGGACCAAGCCCGGTGATCTCTACGTCTCCATTCGAGTCGCTCCGGACTCTCGATTCAGCCGCTCTGGATCTGATATTCTCTACACCGCTTCCATTCCTCTCACCACTGCCATTCTTGGCGGTGAGGTGACCATCCCAACCCTCGAGAGCGAGGTCAAGGTTAAGGTCGCCACGGGTACTGGTACTGGTGACCGAATTACCCTGTCTGGGATGGGCATGAAGAAGCTGGGTGCTCGGGTACGCGGCTTCACACCTAACGGTGATCTCAAGGTTGAGTTTAAGGTAGCAATGCCGAAGTACTTGACCGGCAACCAGCGAACCATCCTGGAAGTCCTTGCAGATGAGATGAACGACAAGACCGCGAAGCGGACAATGAACTTCAGCGCCGATAAGGAGAGGTAAGACACAATTCATCTATGCAACATTCACCTTTACTGACCTCTGCCAGCTCCTCATCGAGTTCCGAAAACGAAGGCTTCCTGAAGTCTGTCTGGCACCGACTTACGGGCGAGAACTATGAGGCCAAAAAGAAGGATACCAAGGACAAAGACACCAAGAGCAAGGATGGCAAGACCGATGCCAAGGACGACTCGAAGAAATCGAGCTGAATATGTAAATCATGTACTCTATATCCGTTTGTATTTACCTCACCCATGTCATAGCGCCGGCGATATTGGGGACCTGTTCTGCCAAGGGGGTCTTGGGGCAGAATACTGTATTATTATCAAGTTTTAGGTGGTTATGAAGCTCTTCCCTCCACTGTAATAGGTTAACATGCTTTGTAAACGGTAGACGTTGTGTTGTGATGTTTCGAGTATAGATGAGTAGATATGTATGGTGACTTGCTTGCCGCCCATCAAGACACGGATATCACATCCCACCTTTCTCTCCTCCAACATTCCAGGCAACCCTGTTCTTTTACAATCTTCACATTTCATGTACCTTCAGATACTCTTCAAAGACTGAAGACCAATCGACGTCATTGAAACAGGATCCATCAGGCGCCGACTTTCCGTCTTCCTTACCCCACAGCCTCGACTCCGAACCCCTCAGACACGGAGCTTTAGGCCACCCCTTACCCTCGCGTTTTCTCTCTTACAGATCCTAGTTAGTTAGATGGGAGCACATCGCTCCTGACAACCGTCCGACAATGGTTCAGTCGCCGATGCTTTCGTGTCCGCTGAAGCAGACCAACGAGATCGATTGGATCCAGCCCCTCAAGGATTACATCCGACAGACATATGGCGAGGACCCTGAACGATACAGTCAAGAATGTGTGACTCTCAACCGGCTTCGCCAGGATATGAGAGGTGCAGGGAAGGACAGCGCTACCGGTCGCGATCTGTTGTACCGGTATTATGGTCAACTGGAGCTGTTGGACCTCAGGTTTCCCGTCGATGAGAATCACATCAAGATCTCGTTCACATGGTAGGGCGTTCCCTCCTACATATAGAATACCGCTAACAACTTTATCTTCTAGGTACGATGCTTTCACTCACAAACCTACGTCTCAATACTCCCTGGCCTACGAGAAGGCATCCATTATCTTCAATATCTCCGCTGTCCTGTCCTGCCATGCTGCCAACCAGAACCGGGCCGACGATACTGGCGTGAAGACTGCTTACCATTCCTTCCAAGCTTCCGCCGGAATGTTTACCTACATAAATGAGAATTTCTTGCATGCGCCGTCGACCGACCTTAATCGGGACACCGTCAAAACATTGATCCATGTCACGCTCGCACAAGCCCAAGAGGTGTTTTTCGAGAAGCAGGTGGCAGATGGGAAAAAGCCTGGGTTCTTGGCTAAATTGGCTGGACAGGCAGCATACCTCTACTCACAGGGAGCGGAAACCATGCAAGACTTTGTTGGCAAGAACGTGTTCGACAAGGTGTGGTCGATTGTTGTACAGGCCAAGGCTGCGCACATGGGATCAGTTGCGTCCTACTATCAGGCGGTTGCGGACAGCGAGAGCGGGTCACATGGAGTTGCGATTGCTCGTCTTCAGATGGCTGATAAGCAATCTGCCACTGCTCTGAGTTGGGCAAAGTCATTCCCCTCTACAGCTCCGGTGACCTCCAATTTAACAGCGGAGTCAGGACCCGCTCTGGTGGACCTCATCAAGCATAATCAAACAAACGTGCAGGCCCAGCTTGCCACTATGATCAAGGACAATGACTTCATCTATCACCAGCCGGTTCCAAATGAGGCTGGACTCTCAGCAGTTGCGAAGCTTCCTGCGGCCAAAGCCATTCCTGTCAGCGAATTGTATCAAGGGCAGGATATTCAGCGAATCATTGGGCCCGACATCTTCCAGAAGCTGGTGCCTATGTCTGTCACTGAAACTGCCAGTCTGTATGATGAAGAAAAGGCCAAATTAATTCGTGCCGAAACAGAAAAGGTCGAAACCGCCAATGGCGAGATGGCCGCTAGCCTGGACTATTTGAAGTTACCTGGGAGTCTCAATATCTTAAAGGGAGGCATGAACCAGGAAATGTCAGTAGACGAGGAGTTCCGCCGCTGGTGCTCAGAGCTTGCTGGTCACAAGCCATTTCACAGAGCATTTGACGATCTACAAGATCGCAAGGCTGAAGTGCTATCACAATTGGACCAGTGCTCCAAGCAGCTTGACCTGGAGGAAAGCGTATGTGAGAAGATGCGGTCCAAGTATGGGGCCGATTGGAGCCAGCAGCCCAGCGCTCGACTGAATACCACCCTCCGCGGGGATGTCCGCACATATCGGGATACGATCAATGAAGCCAGCGCCAGTGATTCGCAGCTTTCTTCCACTTTGCGTCAATACGAGACCGATTTCGATGAGATGCGGTCTGCGGGAGAAACAGATGAGGCCGATGTGCTCTTCCAGCGAGGCTTGATCAAGGCTGGTTCGAAACATAGCAAGGGCAAGAATGGTGTCACTAGTCCAGCAGAAGGTAGTCTCCTGGATGATGTGTATGAGGAAGGTGGTGCCTCTGTTGCTGAACAGATTGCCAAGGTGGAAGAAATTCTGAAGAAACTAAACCTCGTAAAGCGAGAGCGGTCCCAGGTCCTTAAGGACCTGAAAGATAAGGTGAGCATTCCAGCGTATCCATTCCCAACTATTTTCTGACTGTCTCGGCAGGTTCACACTGATGATATTTCGAACGTCCTCATCCTAAATAAGAAGTCGATTACTGGGCAGGAGAGCCAACTCTTCGATGCCGAGCTCGAAAAGTTCCGGCCGCATCAGAATCGACTTCTTCAGGCGAACCACAAGCAATCTTCTTTAATGAAGGAACTTACCAAGATTTACGGTGATCTTCTCCAGGACAAGCGAGTCCAAGGAGAGCAGTCGAAGTATGAGTCTATAACGCGGCAGCGTAACTCCGTGATGGCTCGATACAAGAAGGTGTACGAAGCTTACAATGGTCTTTCGTCGGGCATTGCTCAAGCACGAACCTTCTACAAGGAGATGACCGAAAACGTAGACAGCCTTCGCAAGAATGTCGAGACTTTCCTTAACAACCGCCGGTCAGAAGGCGCCCAGCTTCTAAGCCAGATCGAACGCGACAAGGCCGGCGGAGTCTCCGAGCAAGAAGAGCGCGAACGAGAGAAACTGCGCCAGCTGATGGAACGTCTATCCACGGAGCCCAAGACCTCATCAACTTCACCATCCGCAGCATCGGGACCTCCTTCCAATGTCAAATCACCCCCTCCACCTGTGCAAACCCCAGCCTATGGAACCGGACCCTCCCCAAAGATGTCCCCCCGCTACCCACCCACCCAACAGCACGGCGGGCCCCTCTCTCACTCGCCTGCACCCTACGGGCAATACATGACCAGCCAGGGAGCCTCTTACCAACCAGCCCAGCACTTCCAGCAAGGCGCAGCAGCCCCGCTATCCGAAGGCTACAACCCCATGGCGTACCCCTACCAGACCCCCGTGTCCCCACCCCCAAACCAGCAATTCTTCTCCCAAACCCCCGTCCCATACGGGGGCTACTCCAATTCCAGCACACCCGCCCCTCCCACTGCTGGCGCCCAGCCCTCGCACTACATGGCACCTCATGGCTACATCCCACCCCCGCCTCCTCCGCGTCCCCAGCAGACTTCTTACCCTTCCTCCTCTGGCAGTTCCTACCCGTCTGGTCCAGGTGGCTATGCACAGGCCAGACCATACGGCCACCACAAGGCTCCCTCGCAGTCCCAGCCACAGCCCGATACCGGAGGCGATCCATGGGCTGGTCTGAACGCCTGGAAATAAGTACAGTACTACCTTACTTTACTGCCAGGGCATGGTCCTCATTATCATGGATTAGATTGGATAGGACGGATCGGATCAATCAAAACGGACCAATGGGAGGAAGGCATATATCTCGGCGTTTGATCCCTTTAACTTTATCTTTTGTTATTCCGAGGACTTTCACTTGTTTACCTATTGACGTTCAATACCTTCGGTTCGGTCTGGGGGCTCTTGTGTCCTTTTTCTTCCGTATTGGATGTTTCTGTCTTTTTTTTGATTTTCTTCTTTCCTGTTAGAGGGAGATTTCATGCTGTTATGTACATGATGAATGAAATATATACTATTCAGTAGGTGTGAATATCAATTCTATGGGCTCTTTGATTTAACGTTTCGTTGCTGCAAGTCTCGGTCAGGTACCCATCTATGCAGTGATATTCCTGGCTTGATGTCATAGTTTGGATATTAATATTTATTGACTGTTATTCGTTTTTGGTCATAATGGCGATTTTTGGTTACTGTAAACTTGTGTTAGATGAAGATGATTGGCCGGGATATATTCTTGACGAACGGACTTCACCACTTTACCTACATTAAACAGGCAGGTAGTAAAAGGTACCCACAAGGAACAAGAGTAGAAGGGAAAATACTGAATCGCCAGAAAGATATAATAAAGATATAATATAAGCTATGGCAGTGTCTCAAACACGGGTTATATGATATGCAAAAGTGTACATAGTAAGAGGAGGGAACGAACCAACCAACAAAACACACCAAACGCCAATGGGTATCTTAGTATAAGAACAAGAAAGGGGAAGGGAAGGAAAGATAGATCGTCGCCTCAAGGGCAAACCGAAAGTATATCCAGTACACCATCAACCAGGATGGCGAAGCACCAGACAGCTAGTCCAAAAAATCAAGTCCCGACAAAAGCAAGACAAGATCCCAGCCTAACTCCCAACCCCGACAACAAGAATCAAACCGAAGTAAAGGACTGAATCCATCCTCATTCGAATGGTCATCCTCATCCGAACCGGAAAAAAGCCCGCTCTACGGCTGAAACCGCAACCGAAACTGCCTTCCCCTCCTCTCCTCACGCACAGTATACAAGAAACGCGCAATAGTCTCCTGCTCCGACAAACCAGCACTATTAAAGTGTCTACGAACAACCAGCGCAAACTGATCCTTGCTCACACGATCCTGACCGACAATGCGACGAAGCGAGTCAGCAGACTCGCCATTGCGGCCGTGCCGGTGGCTATGGCCGTGGTTGTGGGTATGGCTGTGATTGCGGGAAGAAGAGGAGGACGATTGAGCGCGGCGGGCAGCGATGGAAGTCGGCGAGCGGAGACCGATACCCTGTGAAAGGATGGTGCGCGAGTAGTCGCTTG